CTCCTTACCTGGTCCGTGAGTTTTGGTGGGCGGTCCTCTCTTGGCAGGTTTGTTGTGGTGCCATATTCTTTCAATTTTTTTAAAATGGATTTAGTGGTGCTCCGTGGGATGTTCAAAGTTTCTGATATTTTTTTTATAACCCGACCCTGAACTGTACTTCTCCACAACTTTGTCCCTGACCTGTTTGGAGAACTCCTTGGTCTTCATGGTGCCGCTTGCTTGGTGGTGCCCCTTGCTTAGTGGTGTTGCATACTCTGGGGCCTTTCAGAACAGGTGTATATATACTGAGATCATGTGACTGAGATCAAAAATGCCAAGGGGGATGAATACTTTTGCAAGGCACTGTACATGGTAATGGTAGGGTGTAGGGAAAGACTAATATGTCACCTTTCTGTCCATGAACTTGGAGTGCATCTGCATGTCCTCATCCCACACCAGACGCCTCTTCTCAAACACTGGCTTATCATCCCTCATCTCTGGCACACAACAAACATACACACAAACATGTAAATAGGGGAACATTCCTAACAGTGTGTGTCTGTGCGTGTGTACCTGTTTACCTGTGTGCATTTGGGGTGGGAGAAGCAGGATACTTATGTTGACGGGAGAGCCCACCTGCATTCGGCTGGCCAGGTGCCTGAACAGGAACAGGATATGACATCACACAGGGAGAAAGAGATGGCAGGAGCAGTGGTGCCCTGTATGTCCTGGGTTTCTCCGGTATAGGCCGGGTTACTAAAAAATCCATATACAATTGTGCTTGATTGATTTATTGATTGTATAAGTACAAGTGATGTCCTCTTACCCGCCAGGTAGGAAGTAGCAGTGATGTCCTCTTACCCGCCAGGTAGGAAGTAGCAGTGATGTCCTCTTACCCGTCAGGTAGGAAGTAGCAGTGCCAACACTGCCAAGTGGCTGGGATGTGCTCCACTGAGTCCACCGTCCTCTCCTCCCCAAATACCTCCACCATCCCCACCACCTCCACCACCTCAACTCCCACCATCTGTCATCTGATGTCTGCATCCCAGCTCCCTCTGACCACATGTAAACCACACATTAACCACACAACATGGTCAATACATGGTCAAATCAAACATAACCTCATCCCCAGGCTATTCCACACAGCGCATATAAGCCTTGGATATCAACCACTCAAATTTGGCCTTACTGGGAGTGACCATAGAATTCTATGGAACCTACTGAGTAAAGTATTGGTCATAATTTAATTTGAGCCAATCACACGACTTCGAGGTGTGCCTCTGCGCTTGTGGTGTGCTAGCGTACGGGGGAGGGTTAGGGAGAAGGTATTGTGGGAGATGATTGGTTGGTAGATTAAGCCGATTAATCCAATGCCTACACGCCAGGAATATCTCCCGGCACTCTGTATTGGCTAACGAAGGCCACGCATGACGCATTAGCTCAACGGACTCTTTGCGTATTTGGGAGAAATATATATAAATAAATAAATATATATATATATATATATTGATAAAAGTCACCTTGTCCAAGAGAGATTTACATGGTTATCAAAACGTCACACCAGGGTAAGCCTACAACCCTTATTTTAAGTGTTTCTCAAATCTCCTATGGGAAAAATGAATGGTGGAAAAACGATTGGAACCATTTCCCTGTTTGACCGCTAGGTTTTATGGGTATTATGACACCTCCACTGTAGGGCTCTATTATGGAGGAAATGTGAGCTCACCCGGGAAAAACATGCTCACAAGAGAGAGGAAACGCCTACTTACACAGACAGGAACCTTTACCATTTTTTTCAATGGTAAACGGTCTGAGTAAACTATCTTAGTTTTCCATCATCTTTGCCTGAACTTTCACTGTTCAGAAAACTTCAGAGGACAGACTGTACCATTTGAAAGACCTAGAGGGGTGTGTCGTACAACTCCAAGCCACACAAATCCAGGGGTGTAGTGCTGCCGAAGCATGAGGGCTCTCTAACTTTTTTTCAATTTGAAAATACACAAAGCTGGTAAAAATATTTCTGGGAAATGATTTTGAAGCTCAATCAATGCCTGGCAAGTTCACATAGGGCAGCAGCCTCTAAGGTGCAGGGTTGAGTAACCGGGTGGTAGCCGGCTAGTGACAGTGACTATGTTCCGGGCAGGGTACTGGGTGGAGGCCAGCTCGTGATGGCTATTTAACAGTCTGATGGCATTGAGAATGAAGCTGTTTTTCAGTCTCTCGGTCCCAGCTTTGATGCACCTGTACTGACCTCGCCTTCTGGATGATAGCGGGGTGAACAGACCGTGGCTCGGGTGGTTGATGTCCTCCTTGATGATCATAAAAGATTGGAATATAATAGCATAGCAAAGCAGGCATATAACATTACCGTTACACCAAAAACAATTCCTCATTTCTGGTGAGATTTTAGCTGAAACTGAATAGTTCCATTTTTTTTCTCATGCTGACAAAAAATCAACAGCATGCCACTATGCAGCATATATGCCTTGATTGAAACAAAATACACGAAAAGCTCATAGTTTATTAAAAACAAACCAAAAAAAACATGCCATTTAGGAGACGCTTTTATCCAAAGCGACTTACAGTCATGTGCGCATAATTGTTTTTAACGTATGCGCCATGCTCTACCAATTATTAACACCATCTGTTGTAATTAGCTCATGAAACAATAATTCAAGAAGATCTAAATGCATGTTCCCATAAAACCGATTGAGATCAAATTATTGGCATGCAGATGCAGTTTGGACATTTCACCTGTAAAATTTGAAGAATTATCAGTCACTATTTGACAGTGATGATGGCCTATTTTGAAATTACAGTGCCTTCAGAAAGTATTCATACCCCTTGACTTATTCCACATTTAGTTGTGTTACAGCCTAAATTCAAAATAGATTAAATATATTTTTTCCTCACCCATCTTCACACAATACCCCATAATGAAAAAGTAAAAACATGTTTTTAGAAATGTTGCCAATTTTTGGGAAAATTAAATAGCCTACAGAAAAACTATATTTTAGGTTATTGTCCTGGTGAAAAGTGAATTTGTCTCCCAGTGTCTTGGAAAGCAGGTTTGTAAAGCGGGTTTTCCTCTAGTATTTTTCCTGTGCTTATATCTGTATTTGGTTTATTTTTATCCCAAAGAAAAATCCCTAGTCCTTGCCAATGAAAAGCATACCCATAACATGATGCAGCCACCACCATGCTTGAAAATATGAAGAGTGGTACTCAGTGATGTGTTGTGTTGGACTTTCCCCAAACATAACACTTTGTATTCAGGGAAAAAAGTTAATTTCTTTGCCAAATGTTCTGCAGTATTACTTAAGTGTCCTGTTACAAACAGGATGCATGTTTAGGAATATTTTTATTCTGTACAGGCTTCCTTCTTTGCACTTAGGTTAGTATTGTGGAGTAACTACAATGTTGTTGATCCATCCTCAGTTTTCTCATATCACAACCATTTAAACTCTGTAACTGTTTTAAAATCACCATTGACATCATGGTGAAATCCCAGAGCAGTTTCCTTCCTCTCCGTCAACTGAGTTAGGAAGGACGCCTGTATCTTTGTTGTGACTGGGTGTATTGCAGTGGTGGAAAAAGTACAAAATTATCATACTTGAGTAAAAGTAAAGATACCTTAACAGAAAATGACTCAAGCTAAAGTGAAAGTCACGCAGTAAAATACTACTTGTGTAAAAGTCAAAAAGTATTTGGTTTTAAATATACTTAAGTATCAAAAGTAAATGTAGTTGCTAAAATATACTTAAGTATCAAAAGTAAAAGTAAAAGATTAATAATTTAAAATTCCTTATATTAAGCAAACCAGATGGCACAAATGTCTTTATATACGAATAGCCAGGATCACACTCCAATACTCAGACATCATTTACAAACAAAGCATTTGTGTTTAATGAGTCCGCTAAATCAACAGCAGTAGGGATGATCAGGGATGTTCTCTTGATAATTGTGTGAATTGGACCATTTTCTGTCCTGCTAAGCATTCAAAATGTGACGAGTACTTTTGGGTGTCAGGGAAAATGTATGGAGTAAAAAGTACATATTTTTGTAGTGAAGTAAAAGTAAAAGTTTTTAAAAAATTTAAATAGTAAAGTAAAGTACAGATACCCCAAAAAACTACTTAAGTAGTACTTAAAAGTATTTTTACTTAAGTACTTTACACCACTGATGTATTGATACACCATCCAAAGCCTAATTAATAACTTCACCATGCTCAAAGGGATATTCAGCGTCTGCTTTTATTTTTGTTATTTTTGTATTTTTTTTTACACATCTACCAATCGGTGCACTTCTTTGCAAGGCATTGAAAAACCTCCCTGGTATTTGTGGATGTATCTGTGCTTGAAGTTCACTCATCGATTGAGGGACCTTACAGATAATTGTATGTGTGGGGTACAGAGATGGAGTAGTCATTAAAAAATCATGTTAACCACTATTATTGAACACGGAAAGAGTCCATGCTACCTATTATGCGATTTGCAAAGCACATTTTTACTCCTGAACTTATTTGCCTTGCCATGACAAAGGAGTTGAATACTTATTTTTTATAATTTCTAAAATGTGCTATTAACAAAATTCCACTTTGACATTATGGGGTATTGTGTGAAGATCAGTGACACAAAATCTCAATTGAATCCATTTTAAATTCAGGCTGTAACACAACAACATGTAGAACAAGTAAAGGGGTGTGAATACTTTCTGAAGGCACTGTAGGTATGCCTAACTTGGTGTTTGAGGGTATTACAAATATAACATTTTCTTGAGACAATATGTATGGGCATAGGCAGACGTTGCAATTGGAGGATGCATTTTATGAATATTCTATAATAATATTCAATAGGCTACATCTATCGGTACAAACCTTGATTGAGAAATGATGATGTAATTTACTTTTTTGGGGGCGCTCCCGCACCTAAAGCACTACACCATTGCACAAGTCCCGCCTCTGTGTTGAAGAGATTTGGGGATATAAAATGAAGGAACTTTGTTAATGCAGCACTTTTGAGATCATATCGTGAACGTCATCAGCTTCACGACACATTAATCAGCCAAGTGTTCTAGTCACTAGCAAACAAGAGAGAGCATTTGTGTTTCACTCCTACCTCAAAATAATTCCGCATCCTCATCTCTCGCATCTGTCTCTCTGCCGGTAGCGCGAGCCACACAGCGCAGCCATGGCCAGCAACGATCAGCGGGGGCTACATTATGAACAAACTTTGGTAAGTTAACTTGTTGATAGCTGAGGAACGGAGAATAGCTGAGGAACGTTTTTCTCCGTTCTCTCGATTTACAAGACCGGTTGAGCGTTCATCAGCTAAGTTGCCACTTCAACTTCACTTCGTTACACAGTGACATCGGTGTGTGTTGTCCGTGACACCTGCTTGAGCCAGTGTCGTTTACTGTTTTTACGTCTGGAACAGCTTCAAAGTCTTATGTGCCTCCGTTTGGTAAAATGAGAGGACACGACATGCTTATGACAGAGAGGTTTATTATTTCACTCGTAAAAATAAAATAAGAACGGGTAGGCATATTTTAAAACACAGCATCACATTGTACATAATGTGAGTATTGGTAAAGTGGGACACTTAATTCTTTATTGTAAAGAAGGATAAATTAGAGAGTATATGAGTAATTTCTATATTTTTATGATAAACTTCAATTATTCATACAAATGAAATGTATTAAAACATTATTTAGGTATTTTTGTGGAACATTAAGCATGATCATTTATTATTATGATTACCATAATGATTATGATTATTATGATTAACTATTATTATTATCATCATACTTGATTATAAGTAAATGATGTAGCCTATGTGTAATTGTATAGTCTGTAATATGTATATGTAATGGACTCCCGAGTGGCGCAGCGGTCAAAGGCACTGTATCTCAGTGTTAGAGGCGTCACACTTCGATTCCAGGCTGTATCATAATCCGGCCGTGATTGGGAGTCCCATAGGGCGGCGCACAATTGGCCCAGCGTCGTCCGGGGTAGGCCGTCATTGTAAATAAGAATTTGTTCTTAACTGACTTGCCTAGTTAAATATAAAATAAAAAAATACATAAAATGAACTTCATCTAGGCCTATCAGCTCAACACTATACTCTAGTGGACTTTCTGTAGAATAAAACCAGAAATGCCTCACCCCTCAACAATTTCAATGACTGTTTTATGGTCAAATACAGCAAAATAAACTTTTTTTGTATGGTTATGAATATAGCTAGCTAGGATTTTTTATGTTGGTGAGGTAATATCTTTCTAAGTAAAATGCAGTAATGCTAGCTTTTGCTCAAGCTAGCTGATAGCAGATTTGAAGAAAATGTAATTGAACATTTGATCCTATTTAGAAAATGTATCTCTGTAAAGAAAACATGTATTTCATAATCCCCAAAAATATTTTTTCGGCATTAATATGTCCAGAGGAGTGTCCCATTTGACAGTAACAGGGTGTCCCAGTTTGACAGTAGGCAATTGGCATACTGGGACACTGTCAAAATGTCAATATTCTAAAAATGTGATAGTAGTGAGAAAACCATTTACAGTCATTTTGATTTACAATTACAGTACATTCCATTACAAAATATGTTGTAATGAAACACTGAATATCCATTCTTCGTTTTTTATAACCTTAACATTATTTACCTCAGAATCCTATGTCATTTACTTACCATTATGACTCTAGAGACATTTGTCATTACAGGGGATGCCACGTCCACAATGATGACGTCATACCCATTGAACCCATTTTTGTATCATCACATACTTCCTCACTAACACACAGGCATTGATTGTTGGTTATGTTATTGTACACATTTAAAGATATCCATTACAAAGCTTAAGTGTCCCACTCTGCTAGGTGTCCGACTTAATCAATACTCACCCTACAGAAAAGACAGTCCTCTCTCTCTCTCTCTCTCTCTCTCTCTCTCTCTCTCTCTCTCTCTCTCTCCCTCTCTCTCTCTCTCTCTCTCTCTCTCTCAATTCAATTCAATTAGCTTTATTGGCATGACGTAACAATGTACATATTGCCAAAGCGTACTTTGGATATTAAGTGAAACATTTACAATATTAACATAATTAAAATAATAATAATCAATATTGTCAACGGATCCATCAGTAACAACAATAATCTCTCTTTCTCTCAGGCTTCATCATTACCTTGACCGCTCAATGCATAGGCTACACTAGTTGGAGTAGCAGTCTATTCCGTGCATGAATAAAGCCCTTTTCTCACCAACTGCGTTGCGATCTTTTCGTCCGAATTCCGAAAAAAGTACAGATTCCGATTTTGATGCACTAACCATTCACACCAAGTCCTAGGCTTTTCCCCTCCACTTCCCCCCTCAAAATCGCATAACTTCACCAATGCTGCGGTCATTCTCAGTGGCAATATGTTGTTCAAAGTGGCTAGAGGACGCAGTAATGAGAGAAATATCACATATTACTGGAAAAAAAATAATGTGCTACTGAAAATATTAGGATAAGCTATTCATCCTGTATCATTAAAGGAGCTTGTCTACATTTCATTCAGTTGCACCCCATTTATTAAGAGTGGAAACGCAAAACTGGCAACTGTTGTCATTCCTCAATATGCTGACCATCATGACACACATATGCTGACCATCATGATGCTTGCTGCCTACAGTTTTTTTTAAAGTGATGAAGTCCAGACAGGCTTATTTTAGGAAACTTTCTGAATGAATCTAGAGAATAAGCAAACACATACAAGCACATCCACCCACATATCTCCTCATGTCCACTAGATGCATCGAACTCTTTGCGTTCTGGCAGAAGCCATTCATTGTCAATGGAGCATTCCACAACACTATGTTGGGGATGGTGCACTAGGCTGCGGTGCATTCTGTGTACCATGTACATTCAATATTTTAACCTTTACGGTGTGGTGGTACATACAGAAGTGCACACACATACTCCAACTAGCTAGCTTTTAGCTAATTGAAAAGCAACGCACATGTGCATAAAGTACTGAAATTGCGGGCTAGACATCCCGCAAAACAAAGCGCAAATGCATCTGGTGGACATTGGGTGTAAAAGGACCCATCAATCAAAGCCGCCTGCAGCAGATCTCACTCAGACACGTAAGCAAAATTGTATAAAAAATATTGCTTTAGCTTCAAATCCTTTCTGGAGGATATCAAAACGATAGTCTATATTATAGGATAATGCTAAATCAATGTAACCTATCATATAAATTGATGAGGAAAGTTTTAAGGGGGAGATATAGAGAAAGCTGTAATAGATCAAGATGAAATTGACAACCAACCATTAGAAAATAGAAACACATGCATGCAACCTGTCCATAGCAACCTGTCCATAGCCAAATGATCAGCCTTTGATCAATTTTAGTGAAGCAATGGGTGGTTATGTTGACACTACATTTTTTGCGATAACGATACATTTGTGATAAATGACGATAAATTATTTTTGGGGGAGGTGCTATGTGGACAAAAAGTAATAGGGTGATAAATGTAACTATTTTGCTCGATAACAATAAATACAAAGATTTACAAAAAAATGTTTTAATGGACAATTACTTTGCATTAGAGGCAGAGCTGTATACTATTTTTTTCCTGTGCCAAGTAAGACAACTGAGATGGTAGCCTATTATTATAAAAGTAAGCTATTTCACCTAACATATCCAGAGAATGCATGATGGATATTTTTGATGTACAACCCGTCAAAATTGGATCCAGAATGATCAGATATATTTTTGGCTCTTCAGAGAATTTGCCGGCATCTTTGTGCATATTGGCCTGTAAGCTATGTTATGAGGAAGTGGGAACTCAAAACACTTATCTAGATTGCTAACTCTAAATATGATATTCTTGCCATATAGCCATGTATGCTAATTGGCCTTTCACTGCAAATGTTGCGCTCAACTCCGGGGATGCATCAAAACCATACTACAGCCTACTCTGGTTGTAAAGTGGTGCCATGAACTCAATATGAAGAGGTGAGAAATTAATATATACTCACAGAAAGCGGTGACTCTCCTCTCTGTAACTAGAACACACCTTTTCCCGCAATTACATTTTGAGCAACGGTCATGCTTGTGCTTCTCAGAATGCATCTCTCCCGCCTCCGTGCACACAGTGGGGCGAGGGAGTGAGTCTCACATAGCAGCCGACATCGAAACCGGACAGGCAGATACCTTCATAGCAGGAATCAGCATAATGCATAGGCTATAACTGTTGACCAAATAATGATTTTAGAACAATCACAGAAAATTACCGACATAAGCAAAATGCTTCAGTAAGAGAAAGGCCATGTCTGTCATTTTCGGTTTATCATCCCAGCTCTCTTCATCTAGATTTACTGTCAAGGAGGGGTGTCAAAGTGTACCACAGGAGAATGGGCAAACAAATCTATGATTGATATGTTATGCCCTTGCTTTGTGTAATGAGTGTGTCTGTGTATGGGTGAAATAAGGGATGTTTTTATGGGAGATGAGATTAAAGGACTTCTTGTTACAGGAACCTGTGTGTGCATCTATGTTTGCAGTATGTGTGTCAGTGGAGGCTGCTGAGGGGAGGACGGCTCATAATAATGGCTGGAATGGAGCGAAATGGAATGGCATCAAACACATGGAAACCATGTGTTGGATGTATTTGATACCATTCCACTGACTCCGCTCCAGCCATTACCATGAGCCCGTCCTCCCCAATTAAGGTGCCACCAACCTCCTGTGGTGTGTGATAATGTCTGTGTGTGTGAAGTGACTGATGTGACAACCTGTAGGCAATGGTGTAACTTAGGCTAACTAAGTAAAAATACTTTGAAGTACTACTTAAGTATTTTTAGGGGTATCTCTACTTTACATTACAATTTATAGTTTGGACAACTTTTACTTTTACTCCACTACATTCCTAAACAAAATATGTACTTTTTACTCCCATACATTTTCCATGACACCCAAAAGTACTCGTTACATTTCAAATGCTCTGGCAAGACAGAAATATGGTCCAATTCATGCATCTATCAATATAATGTGTTGTCATTCCCTACTGCCTCTAATCTGGCGGACTCACTAAACACAAATATTGCGTTCGGAGTGTGCCACTAGCTGTCCGTAAAACAAGAAAATCGTGTTATCTGGTTTGCTTAATATAAGGAATTTGATGTATAGCATTGACTTTTACTGAAGTATGACAATTAAGTACTTTTTTCCACCACTGTACCTAAGTACTTTGAGACTTTTACTCACATAGTATTTTACTGGGTGACTTTCACTTTTACTTCAGACATTTGCTATAACAAATGCACTATACAGAAATCGCTCCGCCATTTCCTGGTTACTAAAATTCTAATAGTTTGCCTAATTTCAGTTTATGTAACAAAATAACCAAGTATAGTGTAGAGAGTCATTGTACCATCTAAACCTCTGTGATATACCTTTTCCATAACAAAAAATATTGTATTTTCAGCTGTTTGAAGCTGGTGTACGAAACTGAAAGTAAAAGAAGCAAAAACTAAACTTAAGAACGGGAAGCATATAAATAGCGCACATAGAACAGATCTAGTGCTTCCCAGACTTGCTTTCAATGAGAATGAGAGATCTATAACTCACATTTCTATGTGAATTTGGTAGGGAATTGCCAGGGACCTCCTCATACGATATTATTACAATACTTAGGTGCCGATACGATATGTATTGCGATTCTCACGGTATTGCGATTCGATATTGTGATTTTATTGCGATTCAATGTTGCAAACATATTGCTCACTGTATGTCTGCTGCAGAGGGACAAGAGAGATCCATGAGAAAATGGGTTTTGAGCAGTCATGTAAATAAAAGTGCAGAAAACAAATTGGCTTCCTTTTTATAAAGAAGATGGAGAACAAGCTATGAAGGAAAACTACTGGAGTTTTGGTGCAGGTACAGCTAACTAGCGCAAAAAAATTGCGATATTATCAAAATGATATGATATTTCATAAAAAATTATATCCTGATATGTAACTGTATCGATTTCTTCCCCCCATCACTACTCTCCCTCCCCCTCTCTCATATATCCTATCTCTCCTTAGACCTGTTGTTCTGGCTGATACAGTCCTATACACTGTAGATAGGGCCAGTTGTTCTGGGTGATTTAGTCCTATACATAGACGAACCTTAGACTGCCATTGCAATGTGCCGGTGTGACCCATTCAGTCAACAACCTCTACAGTATGTGTAAGTAAAATAGTGTCTAGTGTGATAGGGCTGTCTAGTGTGATACCCAGTCCTTGCTGTAAGTACATGGCATGTTTTGTATATGCTTATGTGTGTGTGTTACCTACTGCTGTCCCTTAACCCTTTCTGTGTGTTCTTCCAGATGTATGGTCACTACACCCAGGAGCTGGGGGCATATGCTAAAGAAGAGGCAGTTCGCCTGAGGGAGGAGGGGGGGCGGAGGCCCCCAGTCACAGAACGCTCACGCTCCCTGGAACTCCTGGAGAACGAAAAGGGCCGAAGCGCTAAGTGTCGCAGTGAGTACTGAATCTATACTGACCACTCAAGCTGACCGTACTGTGACCAGACCGTATTCTCTGACCAGGTCTCTCGCTCTCTCTTACTGTGAAACAAGTCTCACTTCACATTAACTTTGCCAGATGTAGTTACATTGTTACAAACAAAATAAACTGGAGTGTATTGAAGGAGGGATTTGGGGGGAGAGTTTTGGAGTGTTTGTGCAGTCAGTGTGTGTGTGTGGATGTGTGTTTGCTAGCACAGTGTTTGTGGTGTGTGAGCCACCTCATTCTATGTACTGTTGATGGTGATAATAATGATTAATATGTTTGTTTTTGGTAGACTGAACAGCCTGATCACTAGAAATAGACGGCGAGTGTACAAAACATTATGAACACCTGCTCTTTCCATGACATAGACTGACCAGGGGAATCCAGGTGAAAGCTATGATCTCTTATTGATGTCACCTGTTACATTTTTGAGCCTTGAGAAAATTGAGACATGGATTGTGGTATGTGTGCCATTCAAAGGGTGAATGGGCAAGACAAAATATTTAAGTGCCTTTGGATGGGGTATGGTAGTAGGTGCCATGCCGCCTTGCCCAGGTGTACCGATGTGTGTCAAGAACTGCAACGCTGCTGGGTTTTTCACGCTCAACAGTTTCCTGTGTGTATCAAGAATGGTCCACCCCCCCAAGAAAGTTTGCCCAGCACTGGGTGCAAACTCGTGATGGTCGGAGCCAGAGCGCACTACTTAGACCAATGCGCCACCGCAGTTCACAATAATCTAGCAAGCCGTGAGAATACCTGATGATACAGCAGTGGATGGAAACAACTTGTTGTTTTTAATGATTTAGTTTTAGCCTTCCCCATGCCATAGCCCTAACCTTAACCACTCGGAATTCAAACCTAAACTTAACCCGTTGAGTTGTTTATTTTTTAACCCTGTAACCACGCAGAAGTAGTGGGTCAAAAATAGACATTCATCCATAATACGTTGAATTTCGAAGGGAAACTGAGATCTTGTTGTGACTGAAAGGGACATATCTACAGTGTACAGGGACACTATTTGTACTGGGACACAAAACAAGACACCACAACAGTCTAAATTCTGCAGGGGATTAAGTGTCACATGTTAAACTTGTTCCAGGTGATACATATGTGACATTCACATACAGTACATGTCCTTGGACAATCCGGTGTGTGTGTGTGTGTGTGTGTGTGCGCAAGTTAATGAGATAAGGACTAATAGAGCAGGACAGTTGATATGGAAAATTAGTTTACACTAAACACATACAAATTACACTACACACACAACCAAAAAAAGCACAGAACTCTCATATTTGTGTGTGTGTGTGTGTGTATGTGGTGTTTGTGTGTCAATTCGGTCCCAGATCCCAGCTCATTGCATGTGAATGGAATGCCCTCTACTGTTAATACCTGCTCATTGCACTTTATTTCTCTGCTCACTTCTGCTATAACGGCTCTAGAGTCGATATCCATGCCCCTGTGGAAATCTAATTAGCATGATATAAAAATCCCCATCAAAATCTGTCTATTGTTTTTTTTTGCAAGGGCTGCGTCTCAATCCACCGCATCAGCTAATGGTGGCCTTCCACAACTGTGGTGGAAAGTGGCCGAGCTACAGTGTTGTTGTGTCCAAAAGGTTTGGCCTACAAACTAGTACAGTGCCTTCGGAAAGTATTCAGACCCTTGGAACTTTTCCACATTTTGTTACGTTACAGCCTTATTCTAAAATGGATTTTAAAAAATAATAATCCTCAGCAATCTACACACAAAACCCCATAATGACAAAGCGAAAACAGGTTTGTAGAAATGTTTGCAAATGTATTAAAAATAAAAAACAGACATACCTTATTTACGTAAGTATTCAGGTCCTTTGCTCTGAGACTCGAAATTGAGCTCAGGTACATCCTGTTTCCAGTGATCATCCTTGAGATGTTTCTACAACTTGATTGGAGACATGATTTGGAAAGGCACACACCTGTCTATATAAGGTCCCACTGTTGACAGTGCATGTCAGAGCAAAAACCAAGCCATGAGGTCGAAAGAATTGTCCGTAGAGCTCCGAGACAGGATTGTGTCGAGGCACAGATCTGGGGAAGGGTACCAAAAAAATATATGCAGCATTTAAGGTCCCCAAGAACACAGTGGCCTCCATCATTCTTAAATGGAAGAAGTTTGGAACCACCAAGACTCTTCCTAGAGCTGGCCCGCCCGGCCAAACTGAGCAATCGGGGGAGAAGGGTGTCAGGGAGGTGAACAAGAACCAGATGGTCACTCTGACAGAGCTCTAGAGTTCCTCTGTGGCGATGGGAGAACCTTCCAGAAGGACAACCATCTCTGCAGCACTCCACCAATCAGGCCTTTATGGTAGAGTGACCAGACGGAAGCCACTCCTCAGTGAAAGGCACATGACAGCCCACTTGGAGTTTGCAAAAAGGCCCCTAAAGACTCTCAGACCATGAGAAACAAGATTCTCTGGTCTGATGAAACCAAGATAGATCTCTTTGCCCTGAATGCCAAGCGTCATGTCTGGAGGAAACCTGGCACCATCCCTACGGTGAAGCATGGTGGTGGCAGCATCATGCTGTGGGGATATTTTTCAGCGGCAGAGACTGGGAGACTAGTCAGGATCGAGGGAAAGATGGAAAGGAGCAAAGTACAGAGATATGCTTGATGAAAACCTGCTCCAGAGCACTCAGGACCTCAGACTGGGGCGAAGGTTCACCTTCCAACAGGACGACGAACCTAAGCACACAGCCAAGACAACGCAGGAGTGGCTTCGGGACAAGTCTGTGAATGTTCTTGAGTGGCCCAGCCAGAGCTCGGACTTGAACCCAATCGAACATCTCTGGAGAGACTTGAAAATAGCTGTGCAGCGACGCTCCCCATCCAACCTGACAGAGCTTGAGGGGATCTGCAGACAAGAATGGGAGAAACTCCCCAAGTACAGGTGTGTCAAGCTTATAGCGTCATATCCAAGAAGACTTGAGGCTGTTATCGCTGCCAAAGGTGCTTCAACAAAGTACTGAGTAAAGGGTCTGAATACTTATGTAAATGTAATATTTCCGTAAAAAAAAAATATATATATATTAACAAAGCTTTTGCTTTGTCATTATGGGTTGTTGTGTTGATGAGAAAAAATAATAAATGAATTTAGGAAAAAGGCTGTAACGTAACAAAATGTGGAAAAAGTCAAGGGGTCTGAATACTTTACGAGGACACTGTACAACTCTATGGAGAGATGAGACTCTCATGAACATGATGGTGTTTTCCGTGTTGCTACCACAAGCATCACGGGACTCATCTGAAGTCTGTACTGCCGATCTGCCAACTTCTGTCTGTAGCGACCAAACAGTTTGGGCTACACACTAATATGACCCCTCTGTGGAAAGGTGAGACTCTCACAAACACGTACATGTCAGTACATGTTTTGCTCTAGGATGCACACAAGCCTCACGAGACTCGTCTGAAGGTAGCCCTGTACCAGTTTAAAAAATGAATGAAAGTGTATATGGAAGTAGTTTAGGGCCAATTTTGTTTAGTTAAATATGGGTTCAAAAAAATACACAAATCTTGGTCTTTCTTATATCTCTCAGATATAGGACAGACATTTTAAAACAAACTTCCTTTAAATTTATTTTTGGACTATCTGTTTTTCCATGTATGAATATGTTATTCAATGCATTTTGTATGTACTAATAGCAGGCCAAATTCAATGTTTCATCAATGTTGTGTTACAGTCTGAATTCAAAATGGATGAAATTGATTATTTTTCTCACCCATCTACACACAATACCCCATAATGACAAAGTGAAAACATGTTTGTAGAAAATGTTGCACATTTATTGACAATGAAATACAGAAATATCTAATTTACATAAGTCAATACTTTGTAGAAGCACCGTTGGCAGCGATTACAGCTGTGATGCTTTCTGAGTAAGTCTTTAAGAGCTTTCCACACCTGGATTGCGCAACATTTGCCCATTATTCTTTTCTAAATTATTCAAGTTCTGTAAAATTGGTTGTTGATCATTGCTAGACAATCATTTTCAGGTCTTGCCATAGATTTTCAAGCAGATTTAAGTCAAAACTGTAACTCGGCCACTCAGGAACATTCACCTTCTTCTTGGTAAGCAACACCCATTGTAGATTTGGCCTTATGTTTTAGGTTATTGTCCTGCTGAAAGGTTAATTCATCTACCAGTGTCTGGTGGAAAGCAGACTGATCCAGGTTTTCCTCTCAGATTTTACCTGTGCTTAGCTCTATTCCGTTTATTTTTTATCCTGAAAAACTCCCAAGTTCTTAACGATTACAAGCATACCCATAATACACTGCTCAAAAAAATAAATGGAACACTTAAACAACACAATGTAACTCCAAGTCAATCACACTTCTGTGAAATCAAACTGTCCACTTAGAAAGCAACACTGATTGACAATACATTTCACATGCTGTTGTGCAAATGGAATAGACAATTAGCAAGACACCCCCAATAAAGGACTGGTTTTGCAGGTGGTGACCACAGACCACTTCTCAGTTCCTGTGCTTCCTGGCTGATGTTTTGGTCACTTTTGAATGCTGGCGGTGCTTTCACTCTACTGGTAGCATGAGACGGAGTCTACAACCCACACAAGTGGCTCAGGTAGTGCAGCTCATTCAGGATGGCACATCAATGCGAGCTGTGGCAAGAAGGTTTGCTGTGTCTGTCAGCGTAGTGTCCAGAGCATGGAGGCGCTACCAGGAGACAGGCCAGTACATCAGGAGACGTGGAGGAGGCCGTAGGAGGGCAACAACCCAGCAGCAGGACTGCTACCTCCGCCTTTGTGCAAGGTGGAGCAGGAGGAGCACTGCCAGAGCCCTGCAAAATGACCTCCAGCAGGCCACAAATGTGCATGTGTCTGCTCAAACGGTCAGAAACAGACTCCATGAGGGTGGTATGAGGGCCCGGCGTCCACAGGTGGGGGTTGTGCTTACAGCCCAACACCGTGCAGGACGTTTGGCATTTTCCAGAGAACACCAAGATTGGCAAATTCGCCACTGGCGCCCTGTGCTCTTCACAGATGAAAGCAGGTTCACACTGAGCACATGTGACAGATGTGACAGAGTCTGGAGACGCCGTGGAGAACGTTCTGCTGCCTGCAACATCCTCCAGCATAACCGGTTTGGCGGTGGGTCAGTCATGGTGTGGGGTGGCATTTCTTTGGGGGGCCGCACAGCCCTCCATGTGCTCGCCAGAGGTAGCCTGACTGCCATTAGGTACCGAGATGAGATCCTCAGACCCCTTGTGAGACCATATGCTGGTGCGGTTGGCCCTGGGTTCCTCCTAATGCAAGACAATGCTAGACCTCATGTGGCTGGAGTGTGTCAGCAGTTCCTGCAAGAGGAAGGCATTGATGCTATGGACTGGCCCGCCCGTTCCCCAGACCTGAATCCAATTGAGCTCATCTGGGACATCATGTCTCGCTCCATCCACCAACGCCACGTTGCACCACAAACTGTCCAGGAGTTGGCGGATGCTTTAGTCCAGGTCTGGGAGGAGATCCCTCAGGAGACCATCCGCCACCTCATCAGGAGCATGCCCAGGCATTGTAGGGAGGTCATACAGGCACGTGGAGGCCACACACACTACTGAGCCTCATTTTGACTTATTTTAAGGACATTACATCATAGTTGGATCAGCCTGTAGTGTGGTTTTCCACTTTAATTTTGAGGGTGACTCCAAATCCAGACCTCCATGGGTTGATAAATTTGATTTCCATTGATAATTTTTGTGTGATTTTGTTGTCAGCACATTCAACTATGTAAAGAAAAAAGTATTTAATAAGATTATTTCATTCATTCAGATCTAGGATGTGTTATTTTAGTGTTCCCTTTATTTTTTTGAGCAGTGTATGATACAGTCACCAGCATGCTTGAAAATATGGAGAGTGGTACTCAGTAATGTGTTGTATTGGATTTGCCCCAAACAACTTTGTATTCAGGACAAAAAGCCATATTTTTTGCAGTATTACTTTAGTGCCTTGTTATATATTTTTTTCTGTGTAGGCTTCTTTATTTTCGCTCTGTCAATTAGGTTAGTATTGTGGAGTAACTACAGTGTTGTTGATCCACCCTCAGTTTTTTCCTATCACAGCAATTAAACCCTGTAACTGCTTTAAAGTCACCTCATGATGAAATCCCTACACAATCCCTAAACGGTTTCCTTCCTTTATGGCAACTGAGTTAGGAAGGACACCTGTATCTTTGTAGTGACTGGGTTTATTGATACACCACCCAAGGTGTAATTAATAACTTTGCCATGCTCAAAGGGATATGTTGTGGAAATTCTACACAGGGACACTCAAAGTCAATCTTATTCTTTTGTATATTACCCCGTTTTCCTCCACTATTTGGATCTTGTCTCATCGCTGCAACTCCCCAATGGGCTCGGAGGCGAAGGTCGAGTCATGCATCCTCCGAAACATGACCCGCCAAAACGCACTTCTTAACACCCGCCCGCTTAACCCGGAAGCCAGCCGCACCAATGTGTCGGAGGAAACACCGTTCAACTGATGACCAAGGTCAGCCTGCAGGCACCCGGCCCGCCACAAGGAGTCGCTAGAGCATGATGAGCCAAGTAAAGCCACCCCGGCCAAACCCTCCACTAACCCAGACGACGCTGGGCAAATAGTGCTCCGCCCTATTGGACTCCCGATCATGGCCGGTTGTGATACAGCCCGGGATCGAACCCAAGTCTGTAGTGATGCCTCTAGCACTGCAATGCAGTGCCTTAGACCATGATATCATGATAAACCCTATTATTGAAAACAGAGTCCATGCAACTTATGTGACTTGTTTAGCACATTTTTACTCCTGAACATATTTAGGCTTGCCAAAACAAAGCGGTTAAATGCATTTCAGCTTTTCATTTTTTATTAATTTGTAAACATTTAAAAAAACATAATTCCACTTTGACATTATGGGTATTGTGTGTAGGCCAGTGACAAACACATCTCAATATAATCAATTTTAAATTCAGGCTGTAACACAACAAACGTGCAAAAAGTCGAGGGGTGTGAATACTTTCTGAAGGCACTGTAGGTGCTTGTGTGTGTGCATGTACTGTAATGCTTTGCGACACAATCTCTTTCTCTTCCTTTCTCGTTCTGAATGTCACACACTGAAACCTTATTGTGATGGTGAATATCATCTGAAATACTTCAAGAGAAGGTGAGGAAGAAGTGTATGTGTGTGTGCATGTGTGTGTGTGCATGTGCGCGTGCATGTGTGTGTGTGTGTGTGTGCTTCTCAGCTCCCATCTCAGTGATTAGTTCCCAGTGTTGAGGCTGTATAGGGTTGACTCAGCTAAAGCTCTCTCTCAGCCTCCCTTCAACCTCTCACCACATCGCATGGACTAGGCTGTTTCCTCTCCCCTCACATCAGCCAGAATACAACATGCCTTTTCCCAACTGTGTGTGTGTGTGTGTGTGTTTCTAATGAAGGCTGACAGGGAAAAGATTCACCCATGTGTAACACTGACTCCTCTACTTAAGCAATAACGCACAAGATGCAGTGCTGTAACATGAGGTAAATGTCACAGGTAAATGTCGTAAATGGCCGGTCAACCCATTTACCTGTGACTGTATTCATGATACAGCACTGGCTCGCGTGCCTAATTGCTTTTATCAAACTGTTACCAACATGTTAAAATAACAATGAATTACATATTTTCATTAAAACGTTATTTTGAAAAGTCATTTATATAATTTCATTTTTCCACCTGAAGATATATTCCGGACAAAAATCTGGTTGTTAGTTATTTTGGTCATGTTGCTACAGACGCCACCTAGTCGTTAATCATTTTTGCATAGTTGCTATGCAAAACGTCTGGTCGTCTGTTCTAAACAAAATGGTTGCTATGCAGGCTGGATAAAGTTCTTGTCACTTGCTAGCTAGCCAACTTCAGCTAACGCAGTCACATCAAACATTGAACCTGGAATGACAGTACACTACCTGCATTTTCGTTTTTTTTTTTTTCTATTGTCATTTACATGAATATGTCCATGATAATGACGTTGATCCGTGATTTCGACTAGCTCAGAAAAAGTTGGCTCCTTTTGTCTGGGCACCTTTCACTCTATGGATGGTACTACAGAGATCAAAATTCAAAAGTGAAACATTGTTTCCGAGGTCAGACAGGCAGACAGCAAGGCTTATATTAACCCCTGACGTACCTAACTAAATGCTAGGCTGAAAGCAAGGGGAAATAATGTGTGAGTTGATATTTGGAATTGGAATGGACATTTGGTTTAAATTATTTTTGAATTAACTGGAATTGAAATGGAATCGACCCCAACCCTGACACACACCTTTTTTTTACATGAATTTTCAGGACTTTTTGGGGAGTGCAAATTTTTTTCAAAATCCCTAACCCTAACTCCTAACCTTAAAACTAACCATAATCCTAACCTTAACCCCAAACCCTAAACCTAACCCTTAACCCTAAAATAACATTTGAACAAATTCAGGACATGATAAAAGCGAGCCAATGCTAACTAGTGTTAGTGCAATGACTGAATGCGAGCATATACCCATAGACTTTCAGTCATTGTTCTAACGCTAGTTAACATTGGCTCATAAAACTACATTTAACATCCTTCATACTGGACACAGAGACATACAAATGGTATCCACATATTCACCTGACTCTGGGGAAGTAGATAAAGAGCCTCATTGCCAAAATTCCAAAGTATCCCTTTAATGATATACACCCCCATCCATGTCATCAACATAACAACCTGTTCCCCTATACAATAGGACACACAGGCCGTACTATAGAGAAGGAGGAAAGTTGAGAGACAGAAATGGGTAGAGTAATAATACTTTAGATGAGAAGGAAAAGAGAGAGAGAGAGAGAGAGAGAGAGAGGAAGAGGGGGATACAGAAAGAAGAGGATTTATTTTATACTTTGTTTATATTCTCCCTTTCATCTGACAGAATCTTCTACTGTGGTAAAGTAGCATTAGTGTGGTTTAGTACATTGGTGAGATGAGAGAAGACTGAATAAGATGACAGGGGAGCAGAGCAGGACTAATGTTAGGACAGTGGAGGGAAACAGGGGAAGAACTGGTAGAGTCAGTGTGTGTGTGTGTGTGTGTGTGTGTGTGTGTGTGTGTGTGTCTGTAGGGGGGGGGTAGAGGAGAGGACGGGAGACAGAGCAAAACATCCCTGTGTAAAATGATACTAGTCTGTGCAAAAGTTAACTCTGAAAAATGGTGAGGGGGTTACAATGTATGGTGGGTATGTGTGGTCCTGACTCCAAGGTGGGTGACGTAGTTTTAACAATGTCTCTCCTCAGTCTGTAAGATGTGTTGGTTTGTTTCTATTGTAGTTCTGACTGACTTGACTGACTAGTACTGTACTAGTAACAGTGGTGTTGTTGTCTAACAGTGTGCACCTGTATCTCTCTTCCCTCCAGTCTGTACGGTGCGCTGTCAGAAGTTCCTCATCTCTTGTGTTGGTGAAGACTGGATCTTCCTCATCCTCCTGGGTCTATCCATGGGTCTGCTCAGCTGGGTGGTCGACATCGGTATCGGCATCTGTCTACAATGTAAGAGAGGGAGGTAGGGAGTTGGGGAGGGAAGGAGAGGTAGACTCCTTGGTCTACTCATGGCTCTGGTCAGCTGGGTGAGGGAGGATGGGATAGCGAGAGGAGAGAGGGATGGTGGGAGAGGATGCAGGGAAGCCAAAAGGTGCACAGACTACTTAGACCCCATGGTGTGTGTAAGCACATTGTCAGTGTCCTCCCTTTAGGTTTGAATGTATCTTTTGTGTGCCTTCGGAAAGTATTCAGACCCCTTGACTTTTTTCATATTTTGTTATGTTACAGCCTTATTATAAAATTGATTAAATAAAAAAAAATCCTCAGCAATCTACACACAATACCCCATAAGGACAAAGCGAAAACAGGTTTTTAGAAAACTTTGCCAAATGTATTACATATAAAAAACAGAAATACCTTATTTATATAAGTATTAAGACCCTTTGCCATGAGATTCAAAATTGAGCTCAGGTGCATCCTGTTTCCATTGATCATCCTTGAGATGTTTCTACAACTTGATTGGAGTCCACCTGTAGTAAATTCAATTGAATGGACATGATTTGGAAAGGCACACACCTGTCTATATAATGTCCCATAGTTGACAGTGCATGTCAGAGAAAAAAACCAAGCCATGAGGTTGAAGGATTTGTCTGTAGAGCTCCGAGACAGCATTGTGTCGAGGCACAGATCTGGGGAAGGGTACCAAAAAATGTCTGCACCATTGAAGGTCCCCAAGAACATGGTGGCCTCCATCATTCTTAAATGAAAGAAGTTTGGAACCACCAAGACTCTTCTTGAGCTGACTGCTCGGCCAAACTGAGCAATCGGGGGAGAAGGGCCTTGGTCAGGGAGGTGACCAAGAACCCGATGGTCACTCTGACAGAGCTCTAGAGTTCCTCTGTGGAGATGGGAGAAACTTCCAGAAAGACAACCATCTCTGCAGCACTCCACCAATCAGGCCTTTATGGTAGAGTGGCCAGACGGAAGCCACTCCTCAGTAAAAGGCACATGACAGCCCGCTTGGAGTTTGCCGAAAGGCCCCTAAAGACTCTCAGACCATGAGAAACAAGATTCTCTGGTCTGATGAAACCAAGATTGAACTCTTTGGCCTGAATGCCAATCGTCACGTCTGGTGGAAACCTGACACCATCCCTACGGTGAAGCATGGTGGTGGCAGCATCATGCTGTGGGGATGTTTTTCAGTGGCAGGGTCTAGGAGACTAGTCAGGATCGAGGCAAAGTTGAACTGAGCGAAGTACAGAGAGATCCTTGATGAAAACCTGCTCCAGAGCGCTCAGGTCCTCATACTGGGGGCGAAGGTTCACCTTCCAACAGGACAACGACCCTAAGCACACAGCCAAACAACACAGGAGTGGCTTTGGGACAAGTCTCTGAATGTCCTTGAGGGGCCCAGGCAGAGCCCGGACTTGAACCCGATCGAACATCTCTGGAGAGACCTGAAAATAGCTGTGCAGCAACGCTCCCCATCCAACCTGACAGAGCTTTAGAGGATCTTCAGAGAAGAATGGGAGAAACTCCCCAAATACAGGTGTGCCAAGCTTGTAGCGTCATACCCAAGAAGACTCGATGCTGTAATCACTGCCAAAGGTCCTTCAACAAAGTACTGAGTAAAGGGTCTGAATACTTATGTAAATGTGATATTTCAGTTTTTATTTTCAATAAATTAGCAAAAAAGTCTAAAAACCTGTTTTTGCTTTGTCATTATGGTGTATTGTGTGTAGATTGATGAGGTGAAAAAAAACAATTTAATCAATTTTAGAATAAGGCTGTAACGTAACAAAATGTGGAAAAAGTCAAGGAGTCTGAATACTTTCCGAAGGCGCTGTATATCTTGTCAAGGTGGAAGTCTTCTATCTTGACACAGACAAACTGTTCAACTTTTATAACTGGATACATGATGTCTAACCACCTGTCCAAGTACATCACTGGGACCATGCTCCCACCCATCCACGATCAACTCAAAATGGTGCCTGAGGAAGGCCCACAGCATCATCAAAGACCCCGCACACCCCAGCCACGAGCTGTTCACTCTCTTACTGCCGGGCAGACTGTATCAGAGCATGAGGTCTGATACCAACAGGCTCAGAGACAGTTTCTATCTACAAGCCATCAGACTGTTGAACACTTTAACTGGACTGGCCACCTGTTGTGATTCTCTGCACCTTCGCACACATGCACTCACTCACTCATGCACAAACCCACACAGACACACACACACACACAGACACACACACACACACACACACACACACACACACACACACACACACACACACACACACAAACATACACACACATACACACACCAGTGCTTTTACCAGACTCTTATTATGATTGCTAAATACTGCACAATTTAAACACTTGCCGCCTTCCCCAAAACACATGTAAAATGGGACTATAAATTGTGCCGTCCTGTATTATACTTATGCTAAAATATTTATTATATTCTACTGAGCCATTTAGTTTATGTTCGTATTCTTATCTTTTATTATTTCTTATTGTTGTTGCATTGTCGAGAAGGATCCTGCAAGTATGCATTTCGTTGGACGGTGTATACCATGTGTACCCTGTAAAACTTGAAACTTGAAACACTGTTCCTTTGTCTGAATCATTTAATCTGACACCACTCCTGCATGGAGCTAAAGAAGACATTAAGCTACACTCCATATAGTCTCAGACACTGGGGCTTACGCACACCCCCCCCTCTAACCAGGGTGTGTGTTCATGATGAGCTGCAGTGCAGATGGCTGTCTCCCTGAGCTGCATGCAGGTGTGTGTCTTTTTCTGCCATTAGAAAACCCTCCTCTGATTTTTTTATCCTGTCATCAGTCAAACACACATTTACACACATTGCTGCGGTATTGTGTGTGTGTGTGTGTGTATGTGTGTGTGTATGTGTGTGTGTGTGTCAGGCGGGAGACGGGTGCACGTGGAGAAAGTGAAGAGAGAGTAATCTGGAAGCAAGATGCTCATATTGACAAATCCTCTTATCCCCTTTCTCCTCACACAGACACACACACACACACATGCACACACACACACACACACACACACACACACACACACACACACACACACATGCACACACACACAGGCACATGCACACACACTTACTCGTAAGTAATCCTTTTGTCTGTTTCAGTTGAAGCATGACTTTGGACGTACTTTTACTTTATGATTGACATCAAGTTGATATTGGTGCGTGTGTGTGTGCGTGTGTGTGTGTATGTTTGTGTGTCCACAGCACAGAAGTGGATGTACGTGAGCCTGGAGAGTAATGTGTTTCTCCAGTACCTGGCCTGGGTCTCCTACCCTGTGCTGCTCATCACCTTCTCAGCTGGCTTCACACAGATACTGGCCCCACAGGCTGCAGGTAAGACACACACTCACACACACACACACACACACATATACTGACCATAGCATACCCACACTAACCCCCTCTCCCCCTCCCTCTCTAGGTTCAGGTATCCCAGAGATAAAGACCATTCTGAGGGGTGTAGTGCTGAAAGAATACCTCACCTTTAAAACCTTTGTGGCCAAAGTCATCGGCCTCATCTGTTCCCTGGGCAGTGGCATGCCTCTGGGCAAGGAGGTAACACACACACACACTCTCTACACACACACACTCTCTACATTTACATTTACATTTTAGTCTCTACACACAGTACACACACACACACACTCTCTATACACACAGTACACGTACACACACGCTCTACACACAGTATACACACACACACTCTCTACACACAGTACACACACACACACACACACACACAACACACACACACACACACACACACACACACACACACACACACACTCCTACACACACTACACACACACACACACACACATACACACATACACTCTACACACAGTACACCACACACTCTACACACAGTACACACACACACACACACAACACTCTTCTCACAGTCAGGCTTGTGCGGGTGTTGGTAGTATTCACATCTTGTGTGGGTAGTTGTCACATGTTGCTGCCAGTACAGTCTGTTCCAGTAGTTATGCAGACACACATTCCATTTGACAGCCAGAAGATGCAATCTGGCTTGAAGACTCCTAAAATCAATCAATATATCTGTGATTCATAGGACAAGGGGTTCTGACAGTGAAGCACACACACAGAGGGTTGTGGTTACACGTGTCATGTGTCCCTGTCATACAGTCACACACGTTGCACTCAGGCCACCCTGCTGGTCACAGTGGAGAGAGAGGACAGGGGAGGGGGATAAGGAAGGAGGACAGGGGAGGGGGATAAGGAAGGAGGACAGGGGAGGGGGATAAGGAAGGAGGACAGGGGAGGGGGTATACTGATGAAGGGAGGGGATAGTTTGTACTTGAGGGGAGGGATAAGTGGGGTTAGGCAGTGGGATGGGGTATATGGGAGGACGGGAGGGGATTAGTAGAGGATAGTGAGAGGTTTAGGTGTATGGAAGGGGAAGAAAATGAGATAATTTTAATCTGCTGAGGAAGGTCTTGAAAAATCAGAGATTAGTCAATGATACACTGGAGGAGAGAAGAGGTATAGGAACACACATGTTTCTGAGAAGAGTGTGTGTCTGTGTGTGTGTACATGTGAGATGTGTGTGCGAGCATTAGTTATACTGTATCAGACAATTAATGCATTAAACCAATTGCATTCACAGGTGAACCTGCTCTCCTGAGAGGGATAGGATGATTGTGCTTGGGTTAAATTAACATCAAAAATATTACAGTGCACATAGGGTGCATCCTCCCCCAGCTTCTCTCCCTCTAGACATTAACACTTCAGCTCCATTTAAAGTTTTCTACTCCGCTCAGCTCTGTTTTGGCATCAATTACAGATGCTCAGCATTGACTTCAGCAGCAGGGTTCAGGCTATGAATGAAAGTGAAAACAGTGAGGGAAACATTTTTACATTTGATAGTTTAGTCATTTATCAGACGCTCTTATTCAGGGAGACTTACAGTAAGTAGTGAGTGCATACATTTTGGATCTAAAAAGAATGGAGACCTCTCCCTCCTTTCCGAGTGTTTGAAAGGTGGAGAGAGAGACACAGAGAGAGAGGTCATAAATTAGTGTGAAAACAGGGAGGGAAACAGAGGTAAAGAAAGAGATTGGACACCTTTCCTCCTCTCTGAGAGTTAAAAAACATGGAGAAAGAGAGAGAGAGGACCCCCGCAGAGAGGACCTACACCCAGACCACAGCACCATCAGCGACATCTACACTCCCCCCCAAGTCAACCATGCCCACACCCCATTTAGGCCCCCTCAGATCAGACCTATGCCCCTCCTACCCACCCCAAGCCCCCCATTCCCACAAAGAGGGCCTCAACATGAAAGTCACACATACGCCCAGGCCGTGAGCAGGCAAACAGGCCCAACACCCACTCTTACACTAGCCCAAGCCAATGGCATGTACCAGATGCTCAGCAGGCTCTGCTCACAATTACTGGCCTGAGGCCAAACTATACAACCAACAACATTAGACACTTTATGGAACACAAAGCCTTCACTATTTCATCCTGGAATATCCAAGGCCTGAGGTCATCTGCCTTTGGCCTAAAGAGCAGGAATCTGGACTTCACCAAAGAAATCGGAAATACAGACATTGTCATCCTACAAGAAACATGGTATAGAGGAGACGGACCCACTGGTTGCCCTCTAGGTTACAGAGAGCTGGTAGTCCCATCCACCAAACTACCAGGTGTGAAACAGGGAAGGGACTCAGGGGGTATGCTAATTTGGTAGACCTAACTCACTCTATTAAATTAATCAAAACAGGAACATTTTACATTTGGTTAGAAATTCAAAAGGAAATGATCTCAACAGAGAAAAATGTCCTCCTGTGTGCTACCTATATCCCCCCTGTAGAATCCCCATACTTTAATGAAGACAGCTTCTCCATCCTGGAGGGGGAAGACTGTGGCGACCTAAATGCCAGAGCTGGACAAGAACCTGACACCCTCAGCACACAGGGGGACAAACACCTACCTGGAGGTGACAGCATTCCTTCCCCCATATGCCCCCCTAGGCACAAATATGACAACATAACCAACAAGAACGGGTCACGACTCCTGCAGCTCTGTCGCACACTGGGTATGTACATAGTCAATAGTAGGCTTCGAGGGGACTCCTATGGTAGGTACACCTATAGCTCATCTCTTGGCAGTAGTACTGTAGACTACTTTATCACTGACCTCAACCCAGAGTCTCTCAGAGCGTTCACAGTCAGCCCACTGACACCCCTATCAGACCACAGCAAAATCACAGTCTACATGAACAGAGCAATACTCAATCATGAGGCATCAAAGCCAAAGGAACTGAATAATATTAAGAAATGCTATAGATGGAAGGAAAGTAGTGTTGAAACCTACCAAAAAACAATTAGGCAACAACAAATTAAATCCATTCTAGACAACTTCCCGGACAAAACGTTCCAGTATATTTGACCTCTCAGCTTCACTATCAAATCTATCAAATCTAAAAATCCATAACAGAAAACCGAAGAAAAGTAACAACAGTGATAAATGGTTTGATGAAGAATGCAAAAACCTAAGAAAGAAATTGAGAAACCTATCCAACCAAAAACATAGAGACCCAGAAAACCTGAGCCTATGGTGAATCACTAAAACAATACTGAAATACACTACGGAAAAAGAAGGAGCAGCATGTCAGAAATCAGCTCAATGTAATTGAAGAATCCATAGACTCTAACCACTTCTGGGAAAATTGGAAAACACTAAACAAACAACAACATGAAGAGCTGTCTATCCAAAACGGAGATGTATGGGTAAACCACTTCTCCAATATTTTTTGGCCCTATTACAGAGAACAAACAGCAAAAAAATATACATGATCAAATGCAAATCTTAGAATCAACTATTAAAGACTTCCAGAACCCACTGGATTCTCCAATTACATTGAATGAACTACAGGACAAAATACAAACCCTCCAACCCAAAAAGGCCTGTGGTGTTGATGGTATCCTCAATGAAATGATCAAATATACAGACCACAAATTTCAATTAGCTATACTTAAACTCTTTAACATCATCCTTAGCTCTGGCATCTTCCCCAATATTTGGAACCAAGGATTGATCAGCCCAATCCACAAAAGTGGAGACAAATTTGACCCCAATAACTACTATGGGATATGTGTCAACAGCAACCTTGGGAAAATCCTCTGCATTATCATTAACAGCAGACTAGTTCATTTCCTCAGTGAAAACAATGTACTGAGCAAATGTCAAATTGGCTTTTTACCAAATTACCGTACGACAGACCACGTATTCACCCTGCACACCCTAATTGACAAACAAACAAACCAAAACAAAGGCAAAGTCTTCTCATGCTTTGTTGATTTCAAAAAAGCTTTTGACTCAATTTGGCATGAGGGTCTGCTATACAAATTGATGGCAGTGGGGTTTGGGGAAAAACATATGACATTATAAAATCCATGTACACAAACAACAAGTGTGCGGTTAAAATTGGCAAAAAACACACACATTTCTTTCGACAGGGCCGTGGGGTGAGACAGGGCTGCAGTTTAAGCCCCATCCTCTTCACATATATATCAACGAATTGGCGAGGGCACTAGAACAGTCTGCAGCACCCGGCCTCACCCTACTAGAATCTGATGTCAAATGTCTACTGTTTGCTGATGATCTGGTGCTTCTGTCACCAACCAAGGAGGGCCTACAGCAGCACCTAGATCTTCTGCACAGATTCTGTCAGACCTGGGCCCTGACAGTAAATCTCAGTAAGACAAAAATAATGGTGTTCCAAAAAAGGTCCAGTTGCCAGGACCACAAATACAAATTCCATCTAGACACCGTTGCCCTAGAGCACACAAATAACTATACATACCTCTGCCTAAACATCAGCGCCACAGGTAACTTCCACAAAGCTGTGAACGATCTGAGAGACAAGGCAAGAAGGGCCTTCTATGCCATCAAAAGGAACATAAAATTCAACATACCAATTAGGATCTGGCTAAAAATACTTGAATCAGTTATAGAACCCATTGCCCTTTATGGCTGTGAGGTCTGGGGTCCGCTCACCAACCAAGAATTCACAAAATGGGACAAACACCAAATTGAGACTCTGCATGCAGAATTCTGCAAAAACATCCTCCGTGTACAACGTAAAACACCAAATAATGCATGCAGAGCAGAATTAGGCCAAAACCCGCTAATTATCAAAATCCAGAAAAGAGCCGTTAAATTCTATAACCACTTAAAAGGAAGCGATTCCCAAACCTTCCATAACAAAGCCATCACCTACATTTTTACATTTTACATTTTAGTCATTTAGCAGACGCTCTTAACCAGAGCGACTTACAGGAGCAATTAGGGTTAAGTGCCTTGCTCAAGGGCACATTAACGTCATTTAGCAGACGCTCTTAGCCAGAGCGACTCACAAATTGGTGCGTTCACCCTATAGCCAGTGGGATAACCACTTTACAATTTGGGGGGGGGTTAGAAGGAATACTTTATCCTATCCCAGGTATTCCTTAAAGAGGTGGGGTTTCAAATGTCTCCGGAAGGTGGTGAGTGACTCCGCTGTCCTGGCGTCGTGAGGGAGCTTGTTCCACCATTGGGGTGCCAGAGCAGCGAACAGTTTTGGACTGGGCTGAGCGGGAGCTATGCTTCCGCAGAGGAAGGGGAGCCAGCAGGCCAGAGGTGGATGAACGCAATGTCCTCGTTTGGGTGTAGGGACTGATCAGAGCCTGAAGGTACAGAGGTGCCGTTCCCCTCACTGCTCCATAGGCAAGCACCATGGTCTTGTAGCGGATGCGAGCTTCAACTGGAAGCCAGTGGAGTGTGCGGAGGAGGGGGGTGACGTGAGAGAACTTGGGAAGGTTGAACACCAGACGGGCTGCGGCATTCTGGATGAGTTGTAGGGGTTTAATGGCACAGGCAGGGAGCCCAGCCAACAGCGAGTTGCAGTAGTCCAGACGGGAGATGACAAGTGCCTGGACCAGGACCTGCGCCGCTTCCTGTGTAAGGCAGGGTCGCACTCTCCGAATGTTGTAGAGCATGAACCTGCAGGAGCGGGTCACCGCCTTGATGTTGGCGGAGAACGACAGGGTGTTGTCCAGGGTCACGCCTAGGCTCTTCGCACTCTGGGAGGAGGACACAGCGGAGTTGTCAACCGTGATGGCGAGATCATGGAACGGGCAGTCCTTCCCCGGGAGGAAGAGCAGCTCCGTCTTGCCAGGGTTCAGCTTGAGGTGGTGATCCGTCATCCATACTGATATGTCTGCCAGACATGCAGAGATGCGATTCGCCACCTGGTTATCAGAAGGGGGAAAGGAGAAGATTAGTTGTGTATCGTCAGCGTAGCAATGATAGGAGAGACCATGTGAGGATATGACAGAGCCAAGTGACTTGGTGTATAGGGAGAAAAGGAGAGGGCCCAGAACCGATCCCTGGGGGACACCAGTGGTGAGAGCACGTGGTGCGGAGACAGCTTCCCGCCACGCCACTTGGTAGGAGCGACCGGTCAGGTAGGACGCAATCCAGGAGTGAGCCGCGCCGGAGATGCCCATCTCGGAGAGGGTGGAGAGGAGGATCTGATGGTTCACAGTATCAAAGGCAGCAGACAGGTCTAGAAGGACAAGAGCAGAGGAGAGAGAGTTAGCTTTAGCAGTGCGGAGAGTCTCCGTGACACAGAGAAGAGCAGTCTCAGTTGAATGACCAGTCCTGAAACCTGATTGGTTTGGATCAAGAAGGTCATTCTGAGAGAGATAGCAAGAGAGTTGGCTAAAGACGGCACGCTCAATAGTTTTGGAAAGAAAAGAAAGAAGGGATACTGGTCTGTAGTTGTTGACATCAGTGGGGTCGAGTGTTGGTTTTTTGAGAAGGGGAGCAGAGAGATGAACCTACAGAGAGATGAACTTGGAGAAGAGTCCCTAAGTAAGCTGGTCCTGGGGCTCTGTTCACAAACACAAACAGACCTCACAGAGCCCCAAGACAACAACAACAACAACAACACAATTAGACCCAACCAAATCATGAGAAAACAAAAAGAGAATCACTTGACACATTGGAAAGAACAAACAAAAAAACAGAGCAAACTAGAATGCTATTTGGCCCTAAACAGAGAGTACACAGTGGCAGAATACCTGACCACTGTGACTGACCCAAACTTAAGGAAAGCTTTGACTATGTACAGACTCAGTGAGCATAGCCTTGCTATTGAGAAAGGCCGCACGTAGGCAGACCTGGCTCTCAAGAGAAGACAGGCTATGTGCACACTGCCCACAAAATGAGGTGGAAACTGAGCTGCACTTCCTAACCTCCTGCCAAATTTATGACCATATTAGAGACACATATTTCCCTCAGATTACAGCAATCCACAAAGAATTCGAAAACAAACCCAATTTTGATAAACTCCCTTATCTACTGGGTGAAAAACCACAGTGTGCCATCACAGCAGCAGATTTTGTGAGATGTTGCCACAAGAAAAAGGGCACCCAGTGAAGAACAAACACCATTGTAATACAAGACAAAACCCATATTTATGTTTGATTTTATTTTCCCATTTGTACTTTAAATATTTGCACATTGTTACCAACACTGTCTATATACATAATATGACATTTTAAATGTCTTTATTGTTTTGGAAACCTTCTGAGTGTAATGTTTTACTGTTAATATTTATGGTTTATTTCATTTTGGTTTACTCTCTACTTCCACTTGCTTTGGCAACTGTTTAACCATACGTTCCCATGCCCAAAAGTCCCTTACATTGAATTGCAACTTGAATTGAATTGCGAGAAGCAGAGAGAGAGAGACGACTCCGAGAGAAGAGAGAGAGCGAGCGACAGAGAGCTACAGAGCAGAGCAGAGAGCGAGACGAGAGCGAGAGAGAGAGAAGAGAGAGAGAAGAGAGAGAGAGACAGTTGTATTGGGGAGATGTTTAGCTTCTCAACACCAGGAGTAGGTTAGTCTGTTGGGGGGTGTCACACTACATTGACCCTTTTGGCAAAATTTGACTCGTTTTTATTCAGTATGAGTGAAACTGAAGTTAAAGTGTGATGTGTTTTTTTTTATACCAAGTGTTTTAGGAAATCATTCACAAGTCATTCTCTCTCCCTCTCTAGAGTCCGTTTGTTCACATTGCCAGTCTGGGTGCTGCACTCCTCTGCAAGTTCATGTCTCTGTTTGGAGGAATATATGAGGTAAACCACACCTGGACACACACATGTTACCACATTGTTACACTATACTTGCCTCTGTTGCTATTTCACTTCCATACCCTAACTTTTTTCACGGTACTCTCCCTTTTAAACCTCACATTTAAACCACAGTACCACCACAGTATATCTTATCACTATATCTATCCATTATCTAGTGTAGCCACTGATCATGCAGTCAAACCAACTCCACTATGGTTGAGATACCATAGTAATTCACTGAACAGACTCCCCTCTCCCTTAAGACAGAAATGTAGGTTAGTTGTGTGTGCTTGCGTGTGTGTTTTTGAAGGGACGGCGGCCGGGGGCCTATGAGAGTTTGTGGTCGCGCATGCCGATTGGTTTTGGCACTAAAGCTTTTGTTTGCGATTCCACATTAATTACTCTTCCATCCATGCATTTGTTCATTCAAATATTACCTACAAAGTGATCATGTTTAGGAATAAACACTTTGGCGCTCAAGCTAATTGGAGAGGGGTTCTTCATATTTCCTTGTTGTGACAGGCAAACGGAGGTGCGTTGGAGAGCGCAATTTTTTAACTGTTCATGCCAACCTGTTGATGTGAAATTGTATATTCCTTGGTGAAATGCATTAGCCCAACCTTCCCCTGTCACAATAGCTATGACAGGGGTAGGTTGGGCTATACTCAGTTGGTAGAGCATGGCGTTTGCAACTTCAGGGTTGTGGGTTCGATTCCCACGGGGGGGCCAGTATGAAAAAATAAAAATAATGTATGCACTAACTGTAAGTCGCTCTGGATAAGAGCGTCTGCTAAATTACGAAAAAATAATAATAATTGAAAACTGATTGGGGCATAGTTACTTTGATCATGTCCTGTGTGTTTCTGAGTAATGTGTGTGTGTGTGTTTGTGCGTGCCTATGCGTGTATGTGTTAGGGCTGCTGTTCAGTATTGAGGCATGCTAATTGCTATCAGTCATTACTGAGGCCTGCCCTGGGGGAGGTCAGTGGGCTGACTTATTGATTTAAATCCAGTTACAATTGCTCTTCGTCCTGTTTATTATTTTGTAAATAATGTAGTAGCCTACTTTTGGTGCTTATTTATTTCCCATTTTTGCACATAAAAGCCCTTGCCTTGGACAGAAAAACGTAACATCTTTGTCTGCCTCCTTCTACACTGCTAGTCCTACATCCATCCTGACAACGGCCTAGCCTACCTCACAGGCTGTGTGTGTGTGTGTGTGTGTGTGTGTGTGTGTGTGTATGTGTGTGTCTGTAAATGTAAACACACCTCTCCCTATGTGTTTACAGAATGAGTCGAGGAACATTGAGCTGTTGTCAGTTGCCTGCGCTGTGGGGGTGAGCTGTGTTTTCGCTGCCCCTGTAGGAGGTGAGCAGCACCAACATAACACTCACTGAATGATACACTGGCTGGTTCGGAGATTGTAAGGTTTACTCCACTGCGCCACTCTCCCGAGTGGCGCGGTGGTCTAAGGCACTGCATCGCAGTGCTAGCTGTGCCACTAGAGATCCTGGTTCGAATCCAGGCTCTGTCGTAGCCGGCCGCGACCGGGAGACCCATGGGGCGGCGCACAATTGGCCCAGCGTCGTCCAGGGTAGGGGAGGGAATGGCCGGTAGGGATGTAGCTCAGTTGCAACGTCAGGGTTGTGGGTTCGATTCCCACGGGGGGCCAGTATGAAAAAATAAAAATAATGTATGCACTAACTGTAAGTCGCTCTGGATAAGAGCGTCTGCTAAATTACGAAAAAAAAAAAATTTGAAAACTGATTGGGGCATAGTTACTTTGATCATGTCCTGTGTGTTTCTGAGTAATGTGTGTGTGTGTGTTTGTGCGTGTGTATGTGTGTGTGCCTATGCGTGTATGTGTTAGGGCTGCTGTTCAGTATTGAGGCAATGTCTACGTTCTTCGCTGTGAGGAACTACTGGAGAGGGTTCTTCGCAGCTACAGTCACTGCCTTCATGTACAGAATCCTGGCCGTGTGGAACAGAGAAGAGGGTAAGACAGGTCATTCCCAGAACATTAGCTAAGATTCTCATTAAGTTATAGTTAGGGTTTTATCTAACATTAGGATGAGAAAACATTCCAATAATGTTTTTGATAACCAAATGTTAATTTTTTAAAAATATGTTTTAAATGAAATATCCTTGGAATTTTCTCATAACGTTCACTAAAATGTTGTGCACAACATCTGTAACAACCACCGCAGAACATTCCCCAAACGTTCTCATTAGGTTTCCAGGTAATGTAATAACACAATGTACAAGTAATGCTTTTAGAACGTACTGCCACAGCAAAATGTGAGAGCAATAGAAATGGTTCTGAGAATATATTACGGGAACGTTCTGCTAATGTTGAAGGAGATGTTATTAAAAACATGCATAACAACAAGCAGGGAATATTCCCACAATGCTTTCATGAAGTTACAGTGTGACATTATGACATGATTATTCCAATAACATGACTGGAATATTTCGCTAACATTAATGGATATCCGAGACACCTATCCAGGCATAGGATCTTAATTTGACCAGTTTCTCACAGCAGAAAAAAAATCTGTGGATTATAATTAATGGACATTTTGGTATGGGTTGATACATTTTGCATTAGGGAAAATCAAGTCTGACGTTTTAAAGTGGAAACTTTAGAAGCATTTTTAAACCTTGAATACACTACATGTTTTCATTTCCTGCAGTGCAGGCAAATTTCTCCTGCAACAGGGTGGTCAAATTAAGATCCTGTATAAGCCTAACAACCAATGATGTGTATTGATAACAACAAACAGCCCAGCAAACCGGGAACATTCCCAGAACATTAGCTAACATTCCCATTAAGTTCTAGTTAGGGTTTGAGCTAACATTAGGATGATAACGTCCCACAAACATTCAAATAATATTTTTGATTACCAAATATTTTTTTCTTAGAAAATGTTTTGAATGAAATATTATTGGAATGTTCTCCTAACAGTCACTAAAATGTTGTTCACAACATCTGTAAAAACTATCACAGAACATTTTCCTAAGGTTCTCGTGAGGTTGCCAGGTTATGTAATAACACAATGTTCCGGTAATATTCTTAGAACATACTGCCGCAACAAAATGTGGGAGCAATAGAAGTGGTTCTGAGGAAACATTAAAGGAACGTTCTGCTAATGTTGATGGATATGTTATTCAAAGCACCCATAACAACAAGCAGGGAATATTCCTACAATGGTATCATAAAGTTATAGTGTGACATTATGACATGATGGTTCAAATAATGTTCCCTGAACATACTTCAGCAACAAAATGTTGGAGAAATATAAGTTGTTCTAAAAAAACATTCCAAGAATATTCAGTTAATGTTGATGGAGACATTGCTACTTACACCTATAACAACAAACAAGAAACATTCCTGCGAGACTCTTATGCAATTATTCTGTAAGGTTATGACATGATGATCCAGAATTGTTCTAAAAACAAACTTCAACGATAATGGAAGTATTTCTGAAAACATTGCTACAATGTTCTGCTTACAGTGCATTCGGAAAGTATCCAGACCCCTTGACTTTTCCACATTTTGTTACGTTACAGCCTTATTCTAAAATGTATATATATTTTTAAAAATCATCATCAATACCTCATAATGACAAAGCAAAACAAGTTTTTTTTACATTTTTGCAAATGTTTTACAAATAAAGACTGAAATATTATATTTACATAATTATTCAGACCCTTTACTCAGTAGTTCGGCAGCGATTACAGCCTTGAGTCTTCTTGGGTATGACGCTACAAGCTTGGCACATCCTCCCGAGTGGCGCTGTGCCACTAGAGATCCTGGTTCGAATCCAGGCTCTGTCGTAGCCGGCCGCGACCAGGAGACCCATAGGGCGGTGCACAATTGGCCCAGCGTCGTCCAGGGTAGGGGAGGGAATGGCCGGCAGGGATGTAGCTCAGTTGGTAGAGCATGGCGTTTGCAACGCCAGGGTTGTGGGTTTGTTTCCCACGGGGGGCCAGTATGAAAAAAAATTAATTATAATAATAAAACTTTAAAATAATAAATGTATGCACTCAATAACTGTAAGTCGCTCTGGATAAGAGCGTCTGCTAAATGACAAAAATGTAAATGTATTTGGGGAGTTTCTCCCATTCTTCTCTGCAGATCCTCTCAAGCTCTGTCAGGTTGCATGGGGATCGTTGCTGCACAGCTATTTTCAGGTCTCTCCAGAGATGTTCGATCGGGTTCAAGTCCGGGCTCTGGCTGGGCCACTCAAGGACATTCAGAGACTTGTCCCAAAGCCACTCCTGTGTTGTCTTGGCTATAATTCCATTGTGGGACGACACTGTAAGCTGCACCCCAGTAAGCACGGACCGACACCGACGTCTTTTGGTTGTCTTTTTTTGGTCCAGTCCGGACCAGCCTTGACTTCCACGTCCACAGACATAGATTTTTGGTCCGGTGAAGGCCAATCATAGACGTCTATGTTTGGTTCAGATTTGGTCCGGTCTGGGCTATGTGTTGTCTTGGCTATGTGCTTAGGGTCGTTGTCCTGTTGGAAGGTAAACCTTCGCCCCAGTTTGAGATCCTGAGCGCTCTGTAGCAAGTTTTCATCAAGGATCTCTCTGTACTTTGCTCCATTAATCTTCCCCTCGATCCTGACTAGTCTCCCAGTCCCTGCCGCTGAAAAACATCCCCACAGCATGATGCTGCCACCACCATGTTTCACCATAGGGATGGTGCCAGGTTTCCTCCAGACGTGATGCTTGGCAGTAAGGCCAAAGAGTTCAATCTTGGTTTCATCAGGCGAGCTGATCATTGTGAAAAAGAAAATAGCGTACTTCTGTATTTCCCGCTGTGTAAACACATTTATTTTCATTGCAAATAGGATCAGGATAACTCTTGATAAAGTTGGGTAGCTAATATTCAGAGCTTAAATAGCCAAATTGATTAGTCACAGGAATCAGGACTAATAAAGCCAATGCAACTGCCTGTTTTATAAATGTTAGGCCTACCGCATAGATTCATACAATTCCATTGCGGCCGACACTGTAGGCTACACCCCAGTAAGCACGGACCGACGCCAATGTCTTTTCTTGGTCCTTTCCGGAAAGTCTGTCTTTTTTTGCTGTTTTACAAACGGTAGGCCTACCACATGGATGGACATTCATAAAATTCCATTGCGGGACGACACTGTAAGCTGCACCCCAGTAAGCACGGACCGACACCGACGTCTTTTGGTTGTCTTTTTTTGGTCCAGTCCGGACCAGCCTTGACTTCCACATCCACAGACATAGATTTTTGGTCCGGTGAAGGCCAATCATAGATGTCTATGTTTGGTTCAGATTTGGTCCGGTCTGGACCAGCCTTGATTTGGCCCAAACATAGACGTCAATAAATGACCTAATTTCAACTTTCATTCAGAACCGAAAATGAACCTGATTTCAACGTCTGGAAAAAAGTATTTTCAATGTCCGGAAATTACGCATTTTCAACATCCGGAAAGAACGCCTTTTCAACTTTCATTCAGAACCGAAAATGAACCAGATTTCAATGTCCAGAAAAGACATATTTTTCAATGTCCGGAAAAAAACGTATTTTCAACGTCCGGAAAGAACGCCTTTTCAACTTTCATTCAGAACCGAAAATTAACCTAATTTCAATGTCCAGAAAATACATATTTTCAACGTCCGGTAAATACATATTTTAAACATCTGGAAAATACATGTTTTCACCTTTCACAGAACCTAAAATGAACCTAACTTCAACGTCTAGAAAATACATATTTTAGATGTTTTTTTAATATAATTTTGATTACTAGGATTACTTTTCTAGTTTTTCTGGGATATAGGAGGAAGGTGGCAATTTTCTTCTCTCACCTAGGGCGGAAGAACGGCCCAGGACTGGACCTGTATGTGCATTTATGTGTCAGACCACGCCCACATTAATATTTACTAGTCAATGTTGTCTGGTCTGACCGCCCCCGCTCCCAACTGCAGCATGAAAAATGTGGACCGCGCCGCAATGATCTCTGTCGGGACCCGCAGTGATACAGCCAATCAAGATGCTCTCAATGGTGCAGCTGTATAACTTTCTAAGGATCTGAGGGACCATGCCAAATCTTTTCAACCTTATGAGGTTGAATAGGCACTGTTGCGCCTTCTTCACGACTGTGCTGGTGGGAGAGGACCATGTTTAGTCCTTGGTGATGTGGACACTGAGGAACTTGAAGCTCTCAACCTGCTCCACTATAGCCCCGTCGATGATGATGGGGGCGTGCTCGCACCATCTGTTTTCTGTAGTCCACGATCAGCTCCTTTGTCTTGCTGACGTTAAGGGAGATGTTGTAGTAGTAGTAGTAGTAGTAGTAGTATAATATGTCTTAGAACATATGCGCATCTATGTACATCTCACCGCAATCTGCCAGGCAGTACTTTTACATGATTTCTGAAATCAAGTTTGTAGGGAAAATAAAAGTCAAAAAATCCCAACAGTACAGTATACACTCAGTGGGCAGTTTATTGGGTACACGAAAATGGTTCACTCCTACAGACGTGGCCGTGGCTTGCAGGCAGACAGGCATTGAGGCATTCAGTTACTGTTCGATTGATCGTTAGAATGGGCAAAACGAGTAACCTAAGCGACTTTGAGCGTGGTATGATCGTCGGTGCCAGGTCGGCCTCCCGTGCTTTTCACGCCTGACAACGTAAAGGGTTTATAGAGAATGGTGCGAACAACAAAGAACATCCAGTCAGCGGCAGTCCTGGTGGCGAAAACAGCTCGTTGATGAGAGGTCAAAGGAGAAAGGCAAGAATTGTGCAAGCTAACAGGCGGGTTACAAACTGGCAAATAACGGCGCATTACAACAGTGCTGTGCAAAACGGCATCTCGGAACGCAAAACTCGTCGATCCTCGCCGACCACACCGGGCTCCACTCCTATCGTTAAAAACAAGAAGAAGTGCCTCCAGTGGGCACACAATCACCAACACTAGACAACTGAGGAGTGGACAAACATCGCCTGGTCCAACGAATCCCAGTTCCTGTTGCATCATGCTGATGGCAGAGTCAGGATTTGGCGTAAGTAGCATGAGTCCATGGCACCATCCTGCCTGGTGTCAACAGTATAGGCTGGTGGCGGTGGTGTACTGGTGTGGGGAATGTTTTCCTGGCACACGTTAGGTCCCTTGATACCAACTGAGCAGCACTTCCATGTCCCAAAGAATTCAGTCTGTTCTGAAGGCAAGGAGGTTCCGACCCGGTACTAGATGGGTGTACCTAATAAACTGGTCACTGAGTGTATAAAGAAGATTTGGTAAAGTAAGAAATAATAGAGGATTATTCTTTTTTTGATTTAGTTATCCTCTCTTTTGCAAAGACAAAGACCACAATCTGGAAGTCAGAATAAAGGTGTAAAAAGCTTCATATTGGTGTCAGTCCCATCCCAGTGGCACAGTGGATTCATTCAAGGGATAACACTCCAAAGCTCCCAGGTTCGATCTCCGCTTGCGACTATCAACAAGATACGGAAAAACTATGTTTGTACAATAAATGTTAAATAAATTGTCATGTGATTCCACATTTCTACATGGTTTGTTGTACAACTAACTTTCTCAACAGTAAGATAACACTAACACAAACCTCCATGGACTTTAAAAAATGTAATTTATCATTTTGGGAACATAGGAATAACATTCAAAGAACATTGAGGGAATGTTTTGTGCACGCACCCTGATTCAAACATTGCAAGTATGCCATCACAACTGGACATATTTTGTGTTTAGGGAACCTATCTCTTGTCATATCCCCACAATGTTCCCACAACCTAAAGACATGTTTTAGGGGCTTTTAAAGAACATACAAAATGTGTTATGGGAACATTCTAGCAACATCAGGCAAATGTTTGTTCAACCTAATAGAAACATTGTAATCATCAGCACAACTGGACAGTTTTTGTGTTTTGGGAACATATCTCTTGTCATGTCCTTACAGTGTTACCACAAACTAAAGAAATGTGTAAGGAACTTTTAATGAAAATAACAAATGTGGTTCCTGTAACATCAGGTGAATATTTGTTGCACCCTAAAATAAACATGATATAATCATCTGGACAGTTGTTTAGTTTTGGGAACATATATTTTGTGATGTCCCCACAATGATCCCACCAGACTGTTCCCACAACCTAATGAAACATTTTGGGAACCTTTAAAGAACAGACAAAATGTGTTCTGGTAACGTTCTTGCATTGTCAGGCTAATGGTTTATACGAACATTGTATAATCATCAGCACAACTGGACAGTCTTTGTGTTATGAGAACATTTGCCGCAACATAACAAATGTTCTGGGAACTTTCACAGAAACAATTTTGGTTTGCTGAGTATACTGTATATTGCACTAATCAAACATTGATGTAAAGTCTGTACTATAGCCCAGTGTTTCTCTGGACCACAAGGGGATCCAAGGGGTGCACGTTTTGGTTTTTGCCCTAGCACTACACAGCTGATTCAAAAAATCAAAGCTTGATGATTAGTTGATTATTTGAATCAGCTGTGTAGTGCTAGGGCAAAAACCAAAACGTGCACCCAGGGGCGCCCCAGGACCGAGTTTGGGAAACACTGAGTCATAGCCCTTTAAAAACATTTTGATAACGATGAATCACTCTATTTCTCTATCTGTCTCTCCATCCCTCCGTCCTACACAGTGACCATCACAGCTCTGATACAAACCAATTTCCGTCAGGACTTCCCCTTTCATCTCCAGGAGCTCCCAGCCTTCGCTTTCATTGGGTGAGTCTAAGTTGGCCTCAATTAGCCAGTGAGCTCTTCGTTGCCTCTGTTAGCCAGTGAATGCTGGTGTGAGGGTTCAGGACGATAGCCTCCTGACGTTAGTCACCTAACATGGATGATTCAGCCAGCGAGGTGGTGCATTTAGAACGTCTTATTTTAGCCTGCTGTTACCATAGAAGCGTAGTCTCCGTGCTTACAACAGAACTGAATAGGACCAGAGGCCCCCACCCCACCTCTCTCTCTCTATTTCCATCTCAGATGAAAGAACAGCCTTGTGCTTTCCTGCGTGGGCTCCCAAAGAGAAGAAAATCCCTCTCATTTTTCTCCTATTTCCTTCTTGTCTGGAGGATGTCCTTCCACTCGGCATCTGAGGAGTGGAGCTTTGACTCATGATCAAACAAAACATTTGTCTTATCACACTTCTATAGGGAGAGAGATAGAGAGAGAGAGTGTTTGTCTGTACGCACGCCCCTGCATGTGTGTATGTTGGTATCCTCTCCCTCGCCAATGCCTTGATGTCTTATGGGGAAAGTCAGTCAGTGTTTCAGTCAACTCTAACAGAGAGAGAGAGAGAGAGTGAAATATCATCTATTCATCATTTATTCAGGAGTATTTTACATATTTAATTATGCAGGAACATGAATTGATGAGCATTCATATACAGTACTTGGCTGTAACTGAGGGGGAACTTTGAGCTGGGCGATATGAACAAAATCCATATCGTGATAAATGTAACTATTTGCTCGATAACAATAAATACAACGACAAACAAAAAAGTTGTAATTTTAGCGGCAGGGCTATAGACCCTTTTTTTCCCAGTGTCAAGTAGGATAACTGCCACGGTAGCCTATGATTAAAAAAGTATACTATTTCATCTAACATATCCAGGGAATGCATGATTGATATTTTGATGTGTAACCTGATTTCTTTTTGGCTATATAGCCATGTAGGCTCATTGCTCAATCTATCAGTAAATATAGGCTAATGTCCTACAAAAACGTTCCAGTTTGATGTAGGCCATTGCTATTCACTGCAAATGGCGTGCTCTGCTCTGCAAACGCATCAAAACCATACTACAGCCTACTATGTATTTTTCCCACAATTGCATTTTGATCAGTGGTCAAACAGTGCATTCGGAAAGTATTCAGACCCCTTGACCTTTTCCACATTTTGTTACGTTACAGCCTTGCTCTAAAATAGGTTAAATTGTTTTTTTCCCCTCATCATTCTACATACAGTACCCCATAATGACAAAGCAAAAACATATTTTTTTAAATTTAGCAAATGTGTTAAAAATAAAAAACTGAAATATCACATTTACATAAGCATTTAGACCCTTTACTCAGTACTTTGTTGAAGCACCGTTGGAAGCGATTACAGCCTTGAATCTTCTTGGGTAAGATGCTACAAGCTTGGCACACCTGTATTTGGGGAGTTTCTCCCATTCTTCTCTGCAGATCCTCTCAAGATCTGTCAGGTTGGATGGGGAGCGTCGATACACAGCTATTTTCAGGTCTTTCCAGAGATGTTTGATCGGGTTCAAGTACGGGCTCTGGCTGGGCCACTCAATGACATTCAGAGACTTGTCCTGAAGCCACTCCTGTGTTGTCTTGGAACTAGTGGGTCGTTGTCTTGTTTGAAGGTGAACCTTCGCCCCAATCTGAGGTCCTGAGCGCTCTGGAGCAGGTTTTCATCAAGGATCTCTCTGTACTTTGCTCCGTTCATCTTTCCCTCGATACTGACTAGTCTCCCAGTCCCTGCTGCTAAAAAACATCCCAACAGCATGATGCTGCCACCACCATGCTTCACCGTAGGGATGGTGCCAGGTTTCCTCCAGACGTGACGCTTGGCATTCAGGCCAAAGAGTTCAATCTTGGTTTCATCAGACCAGAGAATCTTATTTATCATGGTCTGAGAGTCCTTTAGTGCCTTTTTGGCAAACTCCAAGCGGGTTGTCATGTGCCTTTTACTGAGGAGTGGCTTCCGTCTGGCCACTCTACCATAAAGGCCTGATTGATGGAGTGCTGCAGAGATGGTTGTCCTTCTGGAAGGTTCTCCCATCTCCACAGAGGAACTCTAGAACTCTGTCAGACTGACCATCGTGTTCTTGGTCACTTCACTGACCAAGGGCCTTCTCACCCGATTGCTCAGTTTGGCTGGGCGGCCACCTTTAGGAAGTCTTGGTGGTTCCAAACTTCTTCCATTTAAGAATGATGGAGGCCACTATGTTCTTGGGGACCTTCAATGCTGCAGAAATGTTTTGGTACCCTTCCCCAGATCTGTGCCTCGACACAATCCTGTCTCGGAGCTCTACGGACAATTCCTTCGACCTCATGGCTTGGTTTTTGCTCTGACATGCACTGTCAGCTGTGGGACCTTACATAGACAGGTGTGTGCCTTTCCAAATCATGTCCAATCAATTGAATTTACCACAGGTGGACTCCAATCAAGTTGTAGAAACATCTCAAGGATGATCAATGGAAACAGGATGCACCTGAGCACAATTTTGATTCTCATAGCAAAGGGTCTGAATACTTATGTAAATATGTTTTTTATTTTGAATGCGTTTGCAAAAATGTCTAAAAACATGTTTTCGTGTTGTCATTATGGGGTATTGTGTGTAGATTGAGGAAAATGTTGAATTTAATCCAATTTAAAAATGTGGAAAAAGGGACAGGGTCTGAATGCTTTCTGAATGCACTGTATACTTGTGCATCTCTCTCTCCTTGCACAGTGGGGAGAGGGAGTGAGAGTGGCTCGCTCACACAGCAGCCGACAGCGAAACAGGGACAGGCAGATACTTTCATAGCAGGAATCAACATAATGCATAGGCTATTACTTTTGACCAAATAATGATTTTAGAACAATCTAAAGGAACGTTGTGTAGCAAAATCACTGAGCATTACAGACTTACGCAAAATGCTTTGGTAAGAAGAAGGCAATGCGGGTGTCAATAATTTTCGGTTTATCGTCCCAGCTCTAGGCTCTGCGACCACTTGGTTTTGGTGGCTGGAGAAACTCTGCCTCTCTGTCCTACTGCCACTTACACAAAGTGGACACATACTGGGTACTTACTTAAAACACAAGCTTATATAAACTGGTCTCTCTCTCTCTCTCTCTCTTTCTCCACCCGTCTTTTTCTCCTTTTAATCTCTCCCTGTCCCTCCTCCCTCCACACTCCTCCATCCCTCCCCCCTCCTCTCTCTCCACAGTATTGCCAGTGGTTTTGGCGGGGCATTGTTTGTCTTCCTGAACAGACTGATAGTCCAGTTAATCAGGAACCAGAAGACCATCAAAAAGTTCCTCATGAAGAAGTAAGTCATTAACATCAGACAGTGGCCCCTACTAGGTCCTAGAGAGAGTACCTGTATCCCAGTGTCTCTCTCTCTCACACACACACACACACACACACACACACACACACACACACACACACACACACACACACACACACACACACACACACACACACACACACACACACACACACACATATTTAGCTCCATTGATGCAGATCTCTCCACAGCAGAGATAAATGAAGACATTCATCTTGACAAGTGTTTATTAATGAATGGTGTTTACTCATCTCCCTACCAGATGAATTAACGATCCTCTGACTTCAAAATGTATGTCATGTTCTGTATATCACTCAGCCGTGGGAAGGGTTTGGGGACAGTTTGGTTATGAAGAATAAACAGTAATGACTAAGCACCCTCTCTGCTCTCCCTCTCACCCTCCCTCCCTCCTCTCCCTCTCCCTCTCACCCTCATTCCTCTCCCTTTCACCCTTTCACCCCTCCTTCCCTCTCTCTCTCCCCTCCCTCTCTCACCCACCCTCCCTCCCTCTCTCCCTCTCACCCTCCCTCCTTCCCTCTCTCTCTCCTCTCCCTCTCACTCTCCCTCCCTCCTCTCCCTCTCACCCTCCCCCCCTCTTCCTCTCACCCTCCCTCCTTCCCTCTCTCTCTCCTCTCCCTCTCACCCTCCCTCCCTCCTTCCTTCCCTCTCTTGCTACTCTCCCTCTCACCCCCCCCTCCCTCCTCTCCCTCTCACCCTCCCTCCCTCCCTACCTCCTTCCCTCTCTCTCTCCTCTCCCTCTCGCTCTCACCCTCCCCTCTCTCTCTCCTCTCCCTCTCATCCTCCCTCCCTCCTTCCCTCTCACTCTCCTCTCGCTCTCACCCTCTCTCTCTCCTCTCCCTCCCTCTTTCCCCCCTCTCTCTCCTCTCCCTCTCACACCCTCCCTCCTTCCCTCTCTCTCTCTCTCCTCTCCCTCTCACCCTACCTCCCTTTTTCCTTTTCTCTCACCCTCCCTCTCTCCTACTCTCCCCCTCCCTCTCACCCTCCCTCTCTCCTCTTCTCTCAGGCGTCTTCTGTACCCAGCTCTTGTCACTCTGCTTGTGTCTACAATAACCTTTCCCAACGGCTTCGGACAGTTCATGGCAGCCAAGGTTAGTCTAGTTCCACCCAGCCAAACCATGGCCAGTTGGTTTTTATGGATAACACAGGTGAAATCAGAGGAGAGTTGATAGCTATGAAACACACGAGGTACTGTTGTTCTATGTGTCCTATTGTTATGTGATCCGGTTGTTGTGGATGTTGTGTGATTGGTCCCCACAAGAATCTTAAAAACAAACATTTGACCAACTGGGGAGAGAGAGAGAGAGAGAGAGATAGAGAGAGAGAGATAGATGAGAAGAGAGGAGAGAGAGAAGAGAGAGAGCTAGAGCGAGGAGACTATATAAGAGATATACGTGACGACTGACGAGTCGCTACGCTCGCTCGCGCTATCTGATCGCTCTCTTCGCTCTCTATCGTCTCGTCTTCCATTTTTTTTTGCGCCCGTGTGTGTGCTTGTAGAATGGTTTAGGGTGCTAATGTAGATGCCTCTCCGCTTAAATTCCTCTCATCTGTGAAATTAAAAGCATTAACAGCAGAAATGCAGCGGGTCCTCCGGCCTAACACACACATACACAGATATGGTCCTGCATATAACTGCTAAAGGGCAATGCAGTTCAAACTACCACAGACATGGCTACCTACCAGACGGTCGTCACTAGTTACCATAGCCACAAAGTCATAAACCCTCCCTATTTCTACAATGTATCTTCTTAAAATGTGATTTTAAACCTAACCACACTGCTAACATTATGCCTAACCCTAAATAAAGACCAAAAAGCTAATGTTTGTTTTCATGAATTATTACGATATAGTTAATTTTGACTTTGTGGTTGTGCTATCTAGTGGAAACCCCTACCAGACAGCGCTCACCTTACTGCTTTCACCCACCCACTCAGCAACAATGGTAGTTAATGCCGTTTTAGGTTTTCTGATGTGTGCCTCTCCTCCATGTTCTCAGTGGTCAGTACATGGGACTTAACGTCCTACTTCTCATCAATATGATGGCTCGTTGCATTGATGTATGACAGCGTGTTCATAGACACCCAACAATCTGTCGCGCCAGGATTGGTGTTTGAGAGCTCGTGCTTTGTAGGCTTACTTGTAGAGCAATCATTGTACAATTTCTCCATCCGGGTCGTCACGGTTTTTCGACATGGCATCTTGTAGTCCTGGTTCTAGACATGCCGTTAGGGCTACATTGAAGCCGACGTGCGGAGCGCTTTATATTCGTGGCAAGTAATTTGGAAGATGCATACCGCCTACTAATGTTATAGCATTGTTGCGTTAGGTATTTGTTTAATTTAAATGTTTCCCTTTATGATGATGATCAGGACTTGTTAGTGGTAGTTTTGTCTTTTGTGATAAATTGCACTTTGATTAGATTTTTTTATTTTTATGTAAACGTTTACGATCCCAATTTCATTTAAACGTCACACCCCTAGTTGATTCTGTTCTCCACTATCAGCTCTGCCCCACACAACCTCACACTGAGGACACACCCTCTTCCATCCCCTCACAACCTCACACTGAGGACACAAACCTTACACTGCCTCTCACTCAGCTTCACAAGCGTTTAGCCAAGACAGTTCAAATTCCATTCTTGCACATTGTCTAAAGTTAAACCCTTTTACACCAGCTTTCCATTATGGTCTTCCAATAAAATGGATGCGTTGTACCCAATTTCAAATCACCTCCTAGCGCCTACCCAATGGCACTTCATGTAGATTGGGATAGCACTAATGTAATAGCTTCTCCTTGCCCTCTTAAAGGAATAATTCTTGCTGCGTTGCTTATACCTCTCCAATCCTTTCATATCTGCTTAAATGCTTTGGGGTAGGAGCTAGGGACCAATATGGATTATATAAAAATTGAAAAAACGCCTGCTGACTTTAGCCCTCTGTCTGTCTGATATGATGTCACTTCCTGTTTCCCCCATGCAGCTGACCCAGATGGAGTCCCTGCAGACGTTGCTAGACAACCAGACGTGGTCCAAGCAGGGCACAGCCGAGGAGTTTGACTACAACAGCAACTCCCAGGCCTGGAAACACCCCCAGGTCAACGTCTTCGTTACCCTCACCCTCTTCGTCGTCATGAAGGTAGGCACACAGGAGCCTAACCTTTCTCCTGTTAGTGGTCTTGAAGGAAAGGAGTTAAAGAACAAACGTGACCATCCAAAACTGCTTAAAAGTCCTGTCCTGTCCTGTCCTCTTGTCCCCTCCCTCTCTCCTCCCTCTTCTGTCCTAAAATCAGACACCTTTACTTTCACTCCTCTGATAGTGCTGTCCCATCCCAACCCCCCTGTTCCTCCAACATCACTTCCAAGGGTGACACAGCCCACTTTCTCTGGGTATGTGTGTGTGTGTGTGTTTGTGTGTGTGTGTGTGTGTGTGTGTGCCCAGCCTGCTACTGTATATGTAGCAGTATTTCTGGCATATATTTTGACGTTGTCACTAACTTCGTATTTATGCCCATTGTCCTCAATAGAGGTAGTATTTTAGTAATCCACACTATGTGTGTGTGTGATAGGTGTGAAAGCAGCGTAGGGTGTAGAGTTACTGACAGAGATCCATTAGATCACACTGGCAGCTGGGCTTAATTACTGCTAACTAGAGAAAGGGAAAGAGAAAGGGGGATACTAGTCAGTTGTACAACTTAATGCATTCAACTGAAATGTTTCTTCCACATTTAACCCAACCCCTCTGAATCAGAGAGGTGCGGGGGGCTGCCTTAATCGACATCCACGTCACGGCGCCCAGGGAACAGTGGGTTAACTGCCTTGCTCAGTGGCAGAACAACATATTTTTGCCTTGTCAGCTCTGGGATTCGATCCAGCAACCTTTTGGTTACTGGCCTAACGCTCCTACCCGCCAGGCAGGGAGGGAGAGAGGGAGAAGACATGGAAAGAGAGGGAGGGAAATTGTTAGGGAAATAGAGGGAGGAAAGGAGGGAGGGAATAATATCAGTACCACTTTACGTTCCAGCTCGGTAATAACCGGGTAATAAATATGTATTTACTAGGTAATTAGCTTGTAATGACCATTAGTTACCATTAGTAGTTACCATGTAATTTCCCCCCCAATCCTTTCCTGACATCCCAACCAGCCCATGGTTGTTACCTGGAAACAGAGACGGTAGTTTCTATGTAATAATTCTCTATCAGTGATGGAAAATGCATCATTACCTGTTTCTCTTCAGTTATACCGTTCAAGACCTTTAAACATCCCAACTAGCCAACAGTGTTACCTGGAAACAGAGATGGTAGTTTCTATGTAATAACACAGAATATGTGCTGGAAAATGCATCACTACTTGTTTCTCTTATGTTGTACCGTTGTATCCCTTCCCCATAACAAACATAACATAAGAGTGACACATGTCCTTTTAAAGTGACCAAAAATGGCTATGACATGACAAACAAAGCCCAGTTCACAATCAGGTTCTTTACTGACAAAAATATATATGCACAAGATATGACTAAGGATTTATATGGCAATTCATTGACATGCTGTAACAAGCCCATAAATGACACATCGACATAATATGGGAAACGTCTCATCAACAACAAACAGCTAGTCCAAATCAAACCTTACCTGACGCCAAGGGAATCTTGTATGATTGATCATCTGGCATGTCTGAACCCAGCTCCACTATTCCTTGTTCTTCTATCAGGATTCTTTGTCTGGAAAATTATCATATTACTTACAAAGGATACTAAAAAGTCAAAGTACCTCACTGAGGCTGCGTCAGGGGCTTGGCTTCAACTAGGAGGCAAATCAAAATATGAAATCGCACTACAGGGAGTGAAAAAGGTCATGACATTTCAGCCTTTTCTGTACTAGATATAGCCTAATACTTACAATATAGCTAGCATCGAAACCTACTGTTCCGTATAGTTATAGACGACCAGTAGTAAATATAGCCTAGCCTAGCCAGCTAGCTAGACACGCATAGCTACAAACACCTATTTCCACCCTTTTAGCCACTAAACAAGAGATTCTATGCAGCTACAAAAATATACAACATACAGTGGGGAGAACAAGTATTTGATACACTGCTGATTTTGCAGGTTTTCCTACTTACAAAGCATGTAGAGGTCTGTAATTTTTTTTCATACACTTCAACTGTGAGAGACAGAATCTAAAACAAAAATCCAGAAAATCACATTGTATGATTTTTAAGTAATTAATTTGCATTTTATTGCATGACATAAGTATTTGATACATCAGAAAAGCAGAACTTAATATTTGGTACAGAAACCTTTGTTTGCAATTAGAGAGATCAGACGTTTCCTGTAGGTCTTGACCAGGTTTGCACACACTGCAGCAGGGATTTTGGCCCACTCCTCCATACAGACCTTCTCCAGATCCTTCAGGTTTCGGGGCTGTCGCTGGGCAATACGGACTTTCAGCTCCCTCCAAAGATGTTCTATTGGGTTCAGGTCTGGAGACTGGCTAGGCCACTCCAGGACCTTGAGATGCTTCTTACGGAGCCACTCCTTAGTTGCCCTGGCTGTGTGTTTCGGGTCGTTGTCATGCTGGAAGACCCAGCCACGACCCATCTTCAATGCTCTTACTGAGGGAAGGAGGTTGTTGACCAAGATCTCGCGATACATGGCCCCATCCATCCTCCCCTCAATACGGTGCAGTCGTCATGTCCCCTTTGTAGAAAAGCATCCCCAAAGAATGATGTTTCCACCTCCATGCTTCATGGTTGGGATGGTGTTCTTGGGGTTGTACTCATCCTTCTTCTTCCTCCAAACACGGCGAGTGGAGTTTAGACCAAAAAGCTATATTTTTGTCTCATCAGACCACATGACCTTCTCCCATTCCTCCTCTGGATCATCCAGATGGTCATTGGCAAACTTCAGACGGGCCTGGACATGTGCTGGCTTGAGCAGGGGGACCTTGCGTGCGCTGCAGGATTTTAATCCATGACGGCGTAGTGTGTTACTAATGGTTTTCTTTGAGACTGTGGTCCCAGCTCTCTTCAGGTCATTGACCAGGTCCTGCCGTGTAGTTCTGGGCTGATCCCTCACCTTCCTCATGATCATTGATGCCCCACGAGGTGAGATCTTGCATGGAGCCCCAGACCGAGGGTGATTGACCGTCATCTTGAACTTCTTCCATTTTCTAATAATTGCGCCAACAGTTGTTGCCTTCTCACCAAGCTGCTTGCCTATTGTCCTGTAGCCCATCCCAGCCTTGTGCAGGTCTACAATTGTATCCCTGATGTCCTTCCACAGCTCTCTGGTCTTGGCCATTGTGGAGAGGTTGGAGTCTGTTTGATTGAGTGTGTGGACAGGTGTCTTTTATATAGGTAACGAGTTCAAACAGGTGCAGTTAATATAGGTCATGAGTGGAGAACAGGAGGGCTTCTTAAAGAAAAACTAACAGGTCTGTGAGAGACGGAATTCTTACTGGTTGGTAGGTGATCAAATACTTATGTCATGCAATAAAATGCAAATTAATTACTTACAAATCATACAATGTGATTTTCTGGATTTTTGTTTTAGATTCTGTCTCTCACAGTTGAAGTGTACCTATGATATAAATGACAGACCTCTACATGCTTTGTAAGTAGGAAAACCTGCAAAATCGGCAGTGTATCAAATTACTTGTTCTCCCCACTGTACATATATTAGTAGAGCGAGTTCCCATTTTGAAATGTGTTTCAGTTGGCTAGATGGACAGTTTGATGTTCCCCAATATGCATTTACCATGATAGATAGCTAGCTAGCTATCTACGTTAGCTTTGAAAGCATGCTATGACACAGACCGTTGACTAGCCTAGCTAATGGAGACCCAGACCCGATCCTCTTTACACAAGCACTCAAAATAGTCTTCTCACTGAATAAAATATCAACATTATTTCTAATGCTAAAGCTTAGTCTCTTACCTTTTGACTGAAGATTACTTTTATGGATGTCCAACACTGGATGAAGCAACAGGGTTTCTCTTGAGGCCATCTTGGAAAAATATCCGATATCTATTATTTTTCTGCCTTTGTCTTTCATGAACGGCCCCGTCATTTAATATCTAGATCTAGTTCTCTTTTGGGCCTGACATCATAAGTATTAATAGCGTTTCTAGCTACATTATTAACAGAATGATGGCTGGAGCAACATACCTCTATTGCTGGCTTGAGTGAGTGAGTGAGAGCTACGTGCATGACATTTTTTTTCAGGAGAAGGCACAATCATGTGATCAGGTCTAATGAGATTGCACAGTGGAAGAAGAAGGCTGGCCCAGGCCTGCCAAGCGTTACCCAATAAAGTTGAAGGGCGGGCCCAAAGGCTCAGTGGAAACTCCATGTACAGTACACACAGCAGAGAGGGGAAGAGAGCAATGACGTGGTGCACATATCTGCACATATGTGACACAGTACGCGATTTTTGGGGACCACTTTTGGCTCATGTGAGCTACTTAGAGAAAAACTGGCAAAAAAGTATAAAAAACTTCTGGAACATCTCTTTAAATGGAGGATTGTCCTGTTCCCAAATTGAAATGCCACACTGTTCCCTGTGTGACTCTGTCTCTCTGTCTGTGTCTGTCTCAGTTCTGGATGTCTGCTCTGGCCATGACCATCCCTGTTCCCTGTGGAGCCTTCATGCCAGTCTTCGTCATTGGTAAGAGGTGTGTGTGTGTGAGTGTGTGTGTGTGTGTGTGTGTGTGTGTGTGTGTGTGTGTGTGTGTGTGTGTGTGTGTGTGTGAGTGTGTGTGAGTGTGTGTGTTTCAGCAATAATGTTAACCCTGCGGATATGCTATGCTATTCAGTTACTCTCTCATTAATAATGAGTTTGTGTGTTCTAGGGGCAGCGTTTGGCCGTCTGATCGGGGAGAGCATGGCCACCTGGTTCCCTGATGGCTTCCACTCTGATGGTACCATCTACCCCATAGAGCCAGGAGTGTATGCAACCGTAGGTGAGTTACTGTAAAAACACACACACACACAAAGAAAAAGGTTGGTACAGCTAGACAAGATTAACAATATATATTCAAGACTAGACACAACAAGACACCATTATTGTAACTATTAGGAAGTGCAAAGCCAGATACAATAAGACACTGC